TGACCCAAGGAACAACGAGGGGTTTCAGTTCAGCCACGGGTGAGCTGTGGCCCATCACTGCGTTTCAACAGCTGAATCAGGGTTCCCCCTTCGTCCGGATGGGCTGGAAACCCCCGACCTTACTGAAATCCATCTCCATGCCCTGGGTTGGAGTTAGGCATGGACAAAGCAGTCAGCTGCCTACCGGAACGCTGGCAGAAGCAAAGCAATGGCTGCAAACAAGAGCAATCCTCTGAGTCACTGGGCAGGAGCTAGAGCCACTCCACACACACCCAGGGACACCCGATTTCCTGCAGCACCAGGCAGCTCAGGGTGCCAGGCCAAGGCTCCCCATCCCGTTAACAGGCCTGCATACACCATCACACTGCTTCTGCCTGCATCCCTGCTTCCCCATCCTGTCCCACAGCTACAGGAGAGCCCAGGAAAGCACCAGGTTTATCTTCCGGCTTATGCAACGCGATTTACATGTAAAGGGCGGAAAACCACCCAAAACATAACCCAGACCGAACCGACATTCAAAAGGTTTGGTGCACTTGTGTCACAGCTGTCACCCTGCGTTACACGAAGTGCCTCATGAACACACCAGGCCCCTCAAAACCTCAGGGACACCCAGCCCTTTCCAAGGAAGGCTCCAGCAGCCGAATCTCACCGGGCCAGATAAAAAGCCGCAGGTCACTTGGTTTTGGTGTTACCATGAGGAAGAGAGGAAGCAGAACTAACCGGTTGGACCAGCATTTGCCAAAACATGGATCTTACCCCGTTCCTGGGCCAATGGAAAGCAGCAGCCCTTGGAGCAGCGCGATGTAAACGCACCTCCCCACAGACAGCCAAAGGGAAATAATCCCTCACAGCCAAGCAGCTTCCAAAAATAACTCGGAGAGCAACAAACAGGCACCGGGACCCTGCGAGTCCCCCCCTGCCACACACGGCTCCCAAACCTTCCCCTGCCTCGGGCTGCTCCTAGCACAAGCCGCGATTCCCACGTTCCACCTCCCGAGCCTTCGAGGTACCGGTCACCCTCACCCCTTGGGGGAGCTGGAAGGAAAACCCACACCCGGGGAGAGGGGCAGAAACCCCCCACAGCGCCCCCCAGCCCTGCCCCGGTGTGGGGGTGCAGGGGGGCAGCGCCCCAGCCGAGCGGGGAGGCCGCGGGAGGCCCCGGCCGCCGGGGCTCCTACCTCGGCAGCGCCGGCCCTGCGTGCGGCGGCGGCCCCACATCTGCGGCTCCGGCGGAGAACGGCCCGGCCCGGCGCTGCGGGGAGCCCGCCGGCAGCCGCTCGGAGCGGCGGAGGCGGGTCCTGGCCGCGGAGCCCCGCGGAGCTGCCCGCGGGTGTGCGCGGGGCGGAGCGGAGGGGACCGGCCCCGGGCAGCCCCCGCCCCACCGGGCAGCGCCGCTCTCGCCTCGCCCCCGGCCCCCCGGGCAGGACCCGGAGGAACAGAAAAGGCTCACCTCGGCCCGGCCGAACGCGCTGATGAGCGCCGGGGGCTCCGGCCCTTCGCTCGTTGTCCCGTCCCGGTGTCGCATCTCCTCTGAACGACCCCGGTTCGCCAAACACACCTCGAACAAGCAGGGGAGGTGGAGCCGCCGGGGCCATTTTGCAGACCCGGGTGCCAAGGCAGCCGGCCCGGTAGGAGATAGGGACCGCCGGCCTGCAGGGAACACAGGGTTCCCCCAGCACCACGCACTAGGGCAAGCTCGGGAGCCCCGCGCAGGTGACCAAGCACAGAGCCGGGTGCCAGAGCAGCATCACCGCACCTGTGCCCCCAGGCCAGGTAAAGAACCAAGTCAGGGCTGGGAGCCGCGGGGCCCAGGTGAACCGAATCTGGGCAATTACAGCCCATCAATGCACTCAGGGCACAGCCACCTGCTTGCTTTATGCTGGAGCTTTGCCTTGCCCTTCAAGCAGGCAACCCAAATACAAAGAGACTGTCAGGAGAAGCCACCTCAATTTAGGGAACTGGCAGGAAGAAGATCTGGTGTTCGAGGCAGTGCTCCTCCGAGGGAGCACAGTTGACAGGCTGAGCTGGGGGTTGGGTACCAGAGGCTTACATTCAGGCTTCTGGAGATAATTTCTCTAGGGGTTGGTATTTCACATTGGAAATGGTAATCACAGGTTTAAGAACAGTTTAATTATGATTAAAGTATAACATAATACTGAATCAGAATAGAAATAACATGAGATACATAAACCTACACATACAAAGCAACCTGAGCTCTTGGACAGTGATCAGCACTTGGGTGCCACAAAACTCCACTGCATTGTAAAGGGAATAAAAGACATTTAGAAGACCCACATGCCATCTGTTTCATTTCAAGCCATGCAGTTACTGCTGACGTGCTTTGGGGAAGGATTTATTTCTTCCAAGAGAGCTTTGTACTCACTCGTCAGATCCAAAGGCTCAGCACCGAGGTGCATGGGCTGCAGGAGGAGCGGTCTGGAAGAACCTGCTTTCCATCCTCCTGGTTTTAGTTTTATGACATCTGCCTAAAGCTTTGGATGAAGTGAAATGAAACAGCAAATGATAACTCGTGGGGGTTCTGAAACAACTCCCAAGGGCTCAAACTATGGTTGCTTTCTAAGTTGTGTGACCACAGGCAGGGGTTGTTAATGCAAAGCCAAAACTGAACACAGTGTCCCAGTGTGTGACTGCACCGACTTTTGGCAATGTGGGAAATTTCCATCTTTACTGACTTCTGAAATTTTCAGTTGGGAAAAAAGGCAGATGAGAACTCTTCTCATTGGCTAATTAACAGGCCTCTAATTTCAAACTTTTCAACAGCTGAAAAGCCTGTGGGTCGGTTGGGAGGGCTTTCTTCCATCTGTTTTGTGTAAGGCTTAACCTACACCTTGCTCTTCAGCTAACCTACTTTACGTCCTAGTCATACCAAAGCATTTAAAGCCTTCTTGCTATTAGCGTCTTCATTCTAGACTCTAAAATAGTCTTTCTCATTTCAGAGCAATCAGCAGTTTGGTTTCCTCTGTTTGGGATAGTTAACCATAGTGGGTCCTTATAAATTGGGTTTGGAGATAACGTGGCTTAAGCTGACTAGGCAAAGATACACTCAGTCATGGAAACAAAACACTGGGCAATGTAAGGGCAGCTGTGACAGACGGCCCTTATTTCTCGGGGCAGCGTATGGAAAAAGTCTAGGACTCAAGTTTGTGTGCGCCCTGAGCGCAGTGGAGGAGCGCGCTCCGAGCACAGCGCCCTTCTCCGTCACCCTGAGCACAGAGGACAGGAGCTGCTGTGACAGCACCAGAAGCACGCTCCACCCAAGAGACGTGGAACACCCAGGAATGTAAAGCACACGAGGGCCTGGGGCTGCTGTCAGGCTGCCGCTGGCACCTCTTGCTTTGGCTGGTGTCCAGCGCGCTGCCGCCGAGCGCGGGCTCGCTCCTGTGCTGCACGTGGATTTGCAGAGCACTGCACACCTACAAGGCACAGCGTGGTTTTCAGACCTGCAAACACCACCCAGCAGATGGTCGTTGCTCCCAAATTGTCTGCTGGCACCATGTGCAGGGTGCTCCTAGTCTCTGTTCCTCGGAGTCTGGAGCTAGCCAAAGTAGATTACATGAAACCCAGCGTCTTGGGCATCTTCAGGCATACTGTAAGAGGCAAGGGGCTGAGGAACAGCTACAATAAGTAGGATGAATAAAACAAATCCTCTCACATACTTAAAATTATTTGATGGTGACAAACTCTGTTCATGCCCAAGCTTGCATTACATTGACAGCACAAAAAGGAGCTGGTTCAGGTTTCAGCCTCACTTTTCTTTGAGCCAGCACCTAGAGGCAGGGTTTCTTGCACTGCTTATGCAACTGCTCACCGTGTTAGACCCTTCTGCAATTCCAGAGGAAGCACCTCTTTCCTGATGCCTATTTCAATGCTTAGTTCAGTTAATGGCTTGAGAGAACAGAAATTTCTATGCCCAGCAGAACCCCAAAGCAGCCCCTACCTGTGCACCAGATATTCAGAAGCTGAACACTTCAAGCATATTAGATTACTAAAAACTCCAAGCAGAAAGCTTGTAACACCTTCCGGACAGAAAGACTGATGTTCGTAGCCATTTTCTCTGTACAAATAGCAAGGTAAACTTTGCTTGGGAGGAGTGTACTGGAACTGTTAACTTAAATCACATTCCACATATGCAAAATACTAAGATAGAATTGTTTCCAACATTCACCAAGCTATCTCTACACCAGTCAATGCTGGACCAAAAGACAATTCATGCCCAAGTTTTTCAGAGGCCACCAGCTTGGCAAAGAGCGGGGCAATAACCCAGTACATGTTTCTTCAGTCCATTGGTACCTTCTCAGGTCCTTACTCAATGCCACCAAAACAAATGAAGAAGGCAGCTATAAGAACCCTGCAAATCCTGGTTATTGCTGGAGTCTGCACCAGTGCTGGAGGTGCTCCCGTGCCCAGATTATTCCAGCCAGAGCATTTGTTCTGTGAAAGATATCTGTGCCTTGCAGGGGTGGCTTTAACAGCTGGGACACTGTTTCCCTGCAGCCAACACCCAGCGACAAGAAAACCAAAGACCAGCGGGGCGGTTCTGCACGTGCCAGAGGTGATGTTCCAGTGTTTGAGGATGCCAGGTGAGCGAAAATGAGAGACAAATAGAGCACTCTCAACTAGTTTATTACTATAGCACAATATAGGGAATCTAACAGGTACAGTACAGGATGTTTCTGAACAGTGTACGTCTTGCCAACCCCAAGGACCCTGTGAAGACCATCAGGAAACCAGCTCTGAGAATCAGCATCGCAGTGCCACGTGCAGGCTCAACCTTAGCAGGCATCCCGCACAGGCAACATTGACCTGGGTGGGATGAGGTTCTGCCTCCCAGCGTCGCATGAGACTCGGGCTTTTATACTGACCAAAACGCACACTCACTCCCAAGCAGGGGCCAGCCTACGTGGGAAGAAGTAGCAGCAATATCCAGAGAGGACTCCAAGGCTTGAGGCTTTTCCGGGGAGTTCTAGAGCAGAACTTTCCGCATAGGAACCAAAGCGGGACTCCCCAGGGAGCAGCCAAAGCACACAAACAGTACTTTTCCATCTCTGTGTGTTTCACCACGGACCATTATCTGTTGTCCCTGACACAGGTGCCCAGCTGGAAAGCTTCCCAAATGAGCACCGCGATGCCCCACGCTGCAGCCGTCCCCGCTCCTCCCTACAGACCCACTGCTGGCTGCAAGCAGACACAGCACGGTCCCCTCCCTGCCTACAGCCCTTCAACAGAGCTTCATGGACTGCTGGGCTCTGGAGTCCCACCAGCGGTGGCTCTGCAGGGAAAAGCAGCAAGGGCTCTTCAGCCATGTCTCCCCTTGCCGCTCCCTTCTGCCAGGCCCCCGGCATCATCGTCTTTGTGACATCACCGCGGTGCACCCAAGGGATACGGGAGAGCACCCGCTGGTACCCACAGTCAGTCAGCGCCAGCAGCCTCTCCTGCCTGACTGTTGGGACTGGGCCTGGTTCTCCAGGGCAGTGGCTGCCGAGCGAACCGTGGGTCCAGGGCCGACAGCAGAAATGGAATGGGAGCCGGCTCCCGCACCAGCGCCATCCCTTTGTGCTCCGCATGCGCTGGGGCAGTCGGCAGACACGGCTGCTGCCGGCCCTTCAGGACAGGGGCAAACAGCGCCCTGTGACACAGCCGCAGCAGCCACACAGGAGGAGCGGGATGTGCAACCCAGCAGCGAGGGACACGACACCGTCCGAATCCCTCCTCTTTCCAACCGGAGCAGGGGCCCAGCCAGCGAATTCTCAGGCCTCGGCTTTCCACAGAGGCTGTGGAAGATCCTGGAAAGCAGCGAGTTTCGGTCCATCTGGTGGGGTATGGGAGGAAAATGTGTGGCCATCAGTGAAGAACTCTTCCAACAGGAGGTGCTGGGCCGGGTTTTCTCCACACAGAAGATGAACTCTTTCCTCCGGCAACTGTACAACTACGGCTTCACCAGAGTGCACCCAGACTCCCAGAGATCTGCCTCCCTGCCTGAATTCCTTGCTGAGGAAGCAGCAGCCTCTTCTCACAGCAAGGTACAGAACTTGCCCCGCACATCAACCAACGCAAGCAGGCTTGAGGGTTTCCAGTCCTGGCATGCTGACAGCTAACCCTTCTCCTTTGCTCGCTGCAGGTGCTCTACTACCACAGCCCCAGCTTCAGCAGAGAGCGTCCCCAGCTGCTGGAGCAGCACAAGAGGAAAGCTGCCATCAAGCGGAAGGCCCCGGGGGCAGCACAGGAGGAGGAAAAACATCCCCCCAGAAGCGCCGATGCGCAGCCTGCAGTGCACACGAGGGCATCTCCACCCGCCAAGCGACGGAATGGAGCACTTCCTGGCCCCAGCACTGCCCGTCCATCCCCAAGGGCAGCTGCTCCCTCAAGCCCAGAGCCTGCCAGAGCAGCAGGCAGCAAGAGCTTCATCCCTCCCAACCACTTCTTCCCACCACCATGGTAGAGAGACCTTAAGAGTATTCATAGATATGGAGTCCCTCAATAGAGCTTAGGAGAGTAGGTTAGATAGAGCCTGGTAGAATTAGGAATAAACTTAAACAATAAACCTTCCTCAGTTGTCCTGTCCTGTTTGTACAGCACAACCACAGCAGGAGTTCCTATCTCACCACCCAAACCCCAAGCAGAAGCAGCTGATCTGCCACCAGCTGAACCATTGCTGAGAAGAGCCCAGCCTGCTTTCTGAGCTCTCGAGAGTAAAAGCCAGGCTGTGGCTCACACGGTGCTTGCTCCTCTCTTTGGAGAGACGTTCTCCAAGGCCATGCCAGGAGACCAGGAGCTCACAAGTCCTGGCACTCTTCAGCTGACGCGGCTGAGCCGTAGAACCCTGGCTCAGGTTTTAGCACCAGAAGACAGCCCGTTACTCTGTGGATGAGCTAAGAACCTCTGAGAAGAGCATTGAAAGAGACCCAGTTGAGTCAAGAGCCTTTAACTGAAGCATCTGAACTCGATGCTGCTTCCTGCGGCCCCTCCTATCCACTGAGCAGGGGTTCATCTCTTGGTGGCACCTGGTTTGTCTCACATGCTGCATGCTCGGGGACAGTCCGTGCTTTGCAGTGGTTTATGTTAACCGGCATAAGAAATAAGGGGTCCAGCCTGCACGTCCCCAGGAGACACTGAGTGCTACACAGCGCAGTCCCATCATGGAGAGATTGCCCACAGATAAGATCAGAGAACTGAGTCTGTGACTCCCCCCCGCCCCAAGCTGAACATCCAGATGCTGACAGCTTCACCTCAGCAGCACCCTCCCACCCCAAACCGAGCCGCTGCAGAAGACAAGGATAAGCTGGAGTCTCCAGGGAGCAGCCAAAGCACACAAACAGTACTCTTCCATCTCTGTGTGTTTCACCACGGACCATTATCTGTTGTCCCTGACACAGGTGCCCAGCTGGAAAGCTTCCCAAATGGGCACCGCGATGGCCCACGCTGCAGCCGTCCCCGCTCCTCCCTGCAGACCCACTGCTGGCTGCAAGCAGACACAGCACGGTCCCCTCCCTGCCTACAGCCCTTCAACAGAGCTTCATGGACTGCTGGGCTCTGGAGTCCCACCAGCGGTGGCTCTGCAGGGAAAAGCAGCAAGGGCTCTTCAGCCATGTCTCCCCTTGCCGCTCCCTTCTGCCAGGCCCCCGGCATCATCGTCTTTGTGACATCACCGCGGTGCACCCAAGGGATACAGGAGAGCACCCGCTGGTACCCACAGTCAGTCAGCGCCAGCAGCCTCTCCTGCCTGACTGTTGGGACTGGGCCTGGTTCTCCAGGGCAGTGGCTGCCGAGCGAACCGTGGGTCCAGGGCCGACAGCAGAAATGGAATGGGAGCCGGCTCCCGCACCAGCGCCATCCCTTTGTGCTCCGCATGCGCTGGGGCAGTCGGCAGACACGGCTGCTGCCGGCCCTTCAGGACAGGGGCAAACAGCGCCCTGTGACACAGCCGCAGCAGCCACACAGGAGGAGCGGGATGTGCAACCCGGCAGCGAGGGACACGACACCGTCCGAATCCCTCCTCTTTCCAACCGGAGCAGGGGCCCAGCAAGTGAATTCTCAGGCCTCGGCTTTCCACAGAGGCTGTGGAAGATCCTGGAAAGCAGCGAGTTTCGGTCCATCTGGTGGGGTATGGGAGGAAAATGTGTGGCCATCAGTGAAGAACTCTTCCAACAGGAGGTGCTGGGCCGGGTTTTCTCCACACAGAAGATGAACTCTTTCCTCCGGCAACTGTACAACTACGGCTTCACCAGAGTGCACCCAGACTCCCAGAGATCTGCCTCCCTGCCTGAATTCCTTGCTGAGGAAGCAGCAGCCTCTTCTCACAGCAAGGTACAGAACTTGCCCCGCACATCAACCAACGCAAGCAGGCTTGAGGGTTTCCAGTCCTGGCATGCTGACAGCTAACCCTTCTCCTTTGCTCGCTGCAGGTGCTCTACTACCACAGCCCCAGCTTCAGCAGAGAGCGTCCCCAGCTGCTGGAGCAGCACAAGAGGAAAGCTGCCATCAAGCGGAAGGCCCCGGGGGCAGCACAGGAGGAGGAAAAACATCCCCCCAGAAGCGCCGATGCGCAGCCTGCAGTGCACACGAGGGCATCTCCACCCGCCAAGCGACGGAATGGAGCACTTCCTGGCCCCAGCACTGCCTGTCCATCCCCAAGGGCAGCTGCTCCCTCAAGCCCAGAGCCTGCCAGAGCAGCAGGCAGCAAGAGCTTCATCCCTCCCAACCACTTCTTCCCACCACCATGGTAGAGAGACCTTAAGAGTATTCATAGATACCGAGTCCCTCAATAGAGCTTAGGAGAGTAGGTTAGATAGAGCCTGGTAGAATTAGGAATAAACTATTAAACAATAAACCTTCCTCAGTTGTCCTGTCTTGTTTGTACAGCACAACCACAGCAGGAGTTCCTAGCTCACCACCCAAACCCCAAGCAGAAGCAGCTGATCTGCCACCAGCTGAACCATTGCTGAGAAGAGCCCAGCCTGCTTTCTGAGCTCTCGAGAGTAAAAGCCAGGCTGTGGCTCACACGGTGCTTGCTCCTCTCTTTGGAGAGACATTCTCCAAGGCCATGCCAGGAGACCAGGAGCTCACAAGTCCTGGCACTCTTCAGCTGATGCGGCTGAGCCGTAGAACCCTGGCTCAGGTTTTAGCACCAGGAGACAGCCCATTACCTAGTGGCCGAGCTAAGAACCTCTGAGAAGAGCATTGAAAGAGACAGAGTTGAGCCAAGAGCCTTTAACTGAAGCATCTGAACTCGATGCTGCTTCCTGCGGCCCCTCCTGTCCACTGAGCAGGGGTTCATCTCTTGGTGGCACCTGGTTTGTCTCACATGCTGCATGCTCGGGACAGTCTGTGCTTTGCAGTGGTTTATGTTAACCAGCATAAGAAATAAGGGGTCCAGCCTGCACGTCCCCAGTAGACACTGAGTGCTACACAGCGCAGTCCCATCATGGAGAGATTGCCCACAGGTAAGATCAGAGAACTGAGTCTGTGACTCCCCCCCGCCCCAAGCTGAACATCCAGATGCTGACAGCTTCACCTCAGCAGCACCCTCCCACCCCAAACCGAGCCGCTGCAGAAGACAAGGATAAGCTGGAGTCTCCAGGGAGCAGCCAAAGCACACAAACAGTACTCTTCCATCTCTGTGTGTTTCACCACGGACCATTATCTGTTGTCCCTGACACAGGTGCCCAGCTGGAAAGCTTCCCAAATGGGCACCGCGATGCCCCACGCTGCAGCCGTCCCCGCTCCTCCCTGCAGACCCACTGCTGGCTGCAAGCAGACACAGCACGGTCCCCTCCCTGCCTACAGCCCTTCAACAGAGCTTCATGGACTGCTGGGCTCTGGAGTCCCACCAGCGGTGGCTCTGCAGGGAAAAGCAGCAAGGGCTCTTCAGCCATGTCTCCCCTTGCCGCTCCCTTCTGCCAGGCCCCCGGCATCATCGTCTTTGTGACATCACCGCGGTGCACCCAAGGGATACGGGAGAGCACCCGCTGGTACCCACAGTCAGTCAGCGCCAGCAGCCTCTCCTGCCTGACTGTTGGGACTGGGCCTGGTTCTCCAGGGCAGTGGCTGCCGAGCGAACCGTGGGTCCAGGGCCGACAGCAGAAATGGAATGGGAGCCGGCTCCCGCACCAGCGCCATCCCTTTGTGCTCCGCATGCGCTGGGGCAGTCGGCAGACACGGCTGCTGCCGGCCCTTCAGGACAGGGGCAAACAGCGCCCTGTGACACAGCCGCAGCAGCCACACAGGAGGAGCGGGATGTGCAACCCAGCAGCGAGGGACACGACACCGTCCGAATCCCTCCTCTTTCCAACCGGAGCAGGGGCCCAGCCAGCGAATTCTCAGGCCTCAGCTTTCCACAGAGGCTGTGGAAGATCCTGGAAAGCAGCGAGTTTCGGTCCATCTGGTGGGGTATGGGAGGAAAATGTGTGGCCATCAGTGAAGAACTCTTCCAACAGGAGGTGCTGGGCCGGGTTTTCTCCACACAGAAGATGAACTCTTTCCTCCGGCAACTGTACAACTACGGCTTCACCAGAGTGCACCCAGACTCCCAGAGATCTGCCTCCCTGCCTGAATTCCTTGCTGAGGAAGCAGCAGCCTCTTCTCACAGCAAGGTACAGAACTTGCCCCGCACATCAACCAACGCAACCAGGCTTGAGGGTTTCCAGTCCTGGCATGCTGACAGCTAACCCTTCTCCTTTGCTCGCTGCAGGTGCTCTACTACCACAGCCCCAGCTTCAGCAGAGAGCGTCCCCAGCTGCTGGAGCAGCACAAGAGGAAAGCTGCCATCAAGCGGAACGCCCGGGGGGCAGCACAGGAGGAGGAAAAACATCCCCCCAGAAGCGCCGATGCGCAGCCTGCAGTGCACACGAGGGCATCTCCACCCGCCAAGCGACGGAATGGAGCACTTCCTGGCCCCAGCACTGCCCGTCCATCCCCAAGGGCAGCCTATCCCTCAAGCCCAGAGCCTGCCAGAGCAGCAGGCAGAGAGAGCTTCATCCCTCCCAACCTCCGCTTCCCACTACCATGGTAGAGAGACCTTAAGAGTATTCATAGATATGGAGTCCCTCAATAGAGCTTAGGAGAGTAGGTTAGATAGAGCCTGGTAGAATTAGGAATAAACTATTAAACAATAAACCTTCCTCAGTTGTCCTGTCTTGTTTGTACAGCACAACCACAGCAGGAGTTCCTATCTCACCACCCAAACCCCAAGCAGAAGCAGCTGATCTGCCACCAGCTGAACCATTGCTGAGAAGAGTACAGCCTGCTTTCTGAGCTCTCGAGAGTAAAAGCCAGGCTGTGGCTCACACGGTGCTTGCTCCTCTCTTTGGAGAGACGTTCTCCAAGGCCATGCCAGGAGACCAGGAGCTCACAAGTCCTGGCACTCTTCAGCTGATGCGGCTGAGCCGTAGAACCCTGGCTCAGGTTTTAGCACCAGAAGACAGCCCATTACCTAGTGGCCGAGCTAAGAACCTCTGAGAAGAGCATTGAAAGAGACAGAGTTGAGCCAAGAGCCTTTAACTGAAGCATCTGAACTCGATGCTGCTTCCTGCGGCCCCTCCTATCCACTGAGCAGGGGTTCATCTCTTGGTGGCACCTGGTTTGTCTCACATGCTGCATGCTCGGGGACAGTCCGTGCTTTGCAGTGGTTTATGTTAACCGGCATAAGAAATAAGGGGTCCAGCCTGCACGTCCCCAGGAGACACTGAGTGCTACACAGCGCAGTCCCATCATGGAGAGATTGCCCACAGATAAGATCAGAGAACTGAGTCTGTGACTCCCCCCCGCCCCAAGCTGAACATCCAGATGCTGACAGCTTCACCTCAGCAGCACCCTCCCACCCCAAACCGAGCCGCTGCAGAAGACAAGGATAAGCTGGAGTCTCCAGGGAGCAGCCAAAGCACACAAACAGTACTCTTCCATCTCTGTGTGTTTCACCACGGACCATTATCTGTTGTCCCTGACACAGGTGCCCAGCTGGAAAGCTTCCCAAATGGGCACCGCGATGCCCCACGCTGCAGCCGTCCCCGCTCCTCCCTGCGGACCCACTGCTGGCTGCAAGCAGACACAGCACGGTCCCCTCCCTGCCTACAGCCCTTCAACAGAGCTTCATGGACTGCTGGGCTCTGGAGTCCCACCAGCGGTGGCTCTGCAGGGAAAAGCGGCAAGGGCTCTTCAGCCATGTCTCCCCTTGCCGCTCCCTTCTGCCAGGCCCCCGGCATCATCGTCTTTGTGACATCACCGAGGTGCACCCAAGGGATACGGGAGAGCACCCGCTGGTACCCACAGTCAGTCAGCGCCAGCAGCCTCTCCTGCCTGACTGTTGGGACTGGGCCTGGTTCTCCAGGGCAGTGGCTGCCGAGCGAACCGTGGGTCCAGGGCCGACAGCAGAAATGGAATGGGAGCCGGCTCCCGCACCAGCGCCATCCCTTTGTGCTCCGCATGCGCTGGGGCAGTCGGCAGACACGGCTGCTGCCGGCCCTTCAGGACAGGGGCAAACAGCGCCCTGTGACACAGCCGCAGCAGCCACACAGGAGGAGCGGGATGTGCAACCCGGCAGCGAGGGACACGACACCGTCCGAATCCCTCCTCTTTCCAACCGGAGCAGGGGCCCAGCCAGCGAATTCTCAGGCCTCGGCTTTCCACAGAGGCTGTGGAAGATCCTGGAAAGCAGCGAGTTTCGGTCCATCTGGTGGGGTATGGGAGGAAAATGTGTGGCCATCAGTGAAGAACTCTTCCAACAGGAGGTGCTGGGCCGGGTTTTCTCCACACAGAAGATGAACTCTTTCCTCCGGCAACTGTACAACTACGGCTTCACCAGAGTGCACCCAGACGCCCAGAGATCTGCCTCCCTGCCTGAATTCCTTGCTGAGGAAGCAGCAGCCTCTTCTCACAGCAAGGTACAGAACTTGCCCCGCACATCAACCAACGCAACCAGGCTTGAGGGTTTCCAGTCCTGGCATGCTGACAGCTAACCCTTCTCCTTTGCTCGCTGCAGGTGCTCTACTACCACAGCCCCAGCTTCAGCAGAGAGCGTCCCCAGCTGCTGGAGCAGCACAAGAGGAAAGCTGCCATCAAGCGGAAGGCCCCGGGGGCAGCACAGGAGGAGGAAGAACATCCCTCCAGAAGCGCCGATGCGCAGCCTGCAGTGCACACGAGGGCATCTCCACCCGCCAAGCGACGGAATGGAGCACTTCCTGGCCCCAGCACTGCCTGTCCATCCCCAAGGGCAGCTGCTCCCTCAAGCCCAGAGCCTGCCAGAGCAGCAGGCAGCAAGAGCTTCATCCCTCCCAACCTCCGCTTCCCACCACCATGGTAGAGAGACCTTAAGAGTATTCATAGATACCGAGTCCCTCAATAGAGCTTAGGAGAGTAGGTTAGATAGAGCCTGGTAGAATTAGGAATAAACTATTAAACAATAAACCTTCCTCAGTTGTCCTGTCTTGTTTGTACAGCACAACCACAGCAGGAGTTCCTATCTCACCACCCAAACCCCAAGCAGAAGCAGCTGATCTGCCACCAGCTGAACCATTGCTGAGAAGAGCCCAGCCTGCTTTCTGAGCTCTCGAGAGTAAAAGCCAGGCTGTGGCTCACACGGTGCTTGCTCCTCTCTTTGGAGAGACGTTCTCCAAGGCCATGCCAGGAGACCAGGAGCTCACAAGTCCTGGCACTCTTCAGCTGATGCGGCTGAGCCGTAGAACCCTGGCTCAGGTTTTAGCACCAGAAGACAGCCCATTACCTAGTGGCCGAGCTAAGAACCTCTGAGAAGAGCATTGAAAGAGACAGAGTTGAGCCAAGAGCCTTTAACTGAAGCATCTGAACTCGATGCTGCTTCCTGCGGCCCCTCCTGTCCACTGAGCAGGGGTTCATCTCTTGGTGGCACCTGGTTTGTCTCACATGCTGCATGCTCGGGGACAGTCCGTGCTTTGCAGTGGTTTATGTTAACCAGCATAAGAAATAAGGGGTCCAGCCTGCACGTCCCCAGTAGACACTGAGTGCTACAGAGCGCAGTCCCATCATGGAGAGATTGCCCACAGATAAGATCAGAGAACTGAGTCTGTGACTCCCCCCCGCCCCAAGCTGAACATCCAGATGCTCGCAGCTTCACCTCAGCAGCACCCTCCCACCCCAAACCGAGCCGCGGCAGAAGACAAGGATAAGCTGGAGTCTCCAGGGAGCAGCCAAAGCACACAAACAGTACTCTTCCATCTCTGTGTGTTTCACCACGGACCATTATCTGTTGTCCCTGACACAGGTGCCCAGCTGGAAAGCTTCCCAAATGGGCACCGCGATGCCCCACGCTGCAGCCGTCCCCGCTCCTCCCTACAGACCCACTGCTGGCTGCAAGCAGACACAGCACGGTCCCCTCCCTGCCTACAGCCCTTCAACAGAGCTTCATGGACTGCTGGGCTCTGGAGTCCCACCAGCGGTGGCTCTGCAGGGAAAAGCAGCAAGGGCTCTTCAGCCATGTCTCCCCTTGCCGCTCCCTTCTGCCAGGCCCCCGGCATCATCGTCTTTGTGACATCACCGCGGTGCACCCAAGGGATACGGGAGAGCACCCGCTGGTACCCACAGTCAGTCAGCGCCAGCAGCCTCTCCTGCCTGACTGTTGGGACTGGGCCTGGTTCTCCAGGGCAGTGGCTGCCGAGCGAACCGTGGGTCCAGGGCCGACAGCAGAAATGGAATGGGAGCCGGCTCCCGCACCAGCGCCATCCCTTTGTGCTCCGCATGCGCTGGGGCAGTCGGCAGACACGGCTGCTGCCGGCCCTTCAGGACAGGGGCAAACAGCGCCCTGTGACACAGCCGCAGCAGCCACACAGGAGGAGCGGGATGTGCAACCCGGCAGCGAGGGACACGACACCGTCCGAATCCCTCCTCTTTCCAACCGGAGCAGGGGCCCAGCCAGCGAATTCTCAGGCCTCAGCTTTCCACACAGGCTGTGGAAGATCCTGGAAAGCAGCGAGTTTCGGTCCACCTGGTGGGGTATGGGAGGAAAATGTGTGGCCATCAGTGAAGAACTCTTCCAACAGGAGGTGCTGGGCCGGGTTTTCTCCACACAGAAGATGAACTCTTTCCTCCGGCAACTGTACAACTACGGCTTCACCAGAGTGCACCCAGACTCCCAGAGATCTGCCTCCCTGCCTGAATTCCTTGCTGAGGAAGCAGCAGCCTCTTCTCACAGCAAGGTACAGAACTTGCCCCGCACATCAACGCAACCAGGCTTGAGGGTTTCCAGTCCTGGCATGCTGACAGCTAACCCTTCTCCTTTGCTCGCTGCAGGTGCTCTACTACCACAGCCCCAGCTTCAGCAGAGAGCGTCCCCAGCTGCTGGAGCAGCACAAGAGGAAAGCTGCCATCAAGCGGAAGGCCCCGGGGGCAGCACAGGAGGAGGAAGAACATCCCCCCAGAAGCGCCGATGCGCAGCCTGCAGTGCACACGAGGGCATCTCCACCCGCCAAGTGACGGAATGGAGCACTTCCTGGCCCCAGCACTGCCCGTCCATCCCCAAGGGCAGCTGCTCCCACAAGCCCAGAGCCTGCCAGAGCAGCAGGCAGAGAGAGCTTCATCCCTCCCAACCTCTGCTTTCCACCACCATGGTATAGAGACCTTAAGAGTATTCATAGTTATGGAGCCCCTCAATAGAGCTTAGGAGAGTTGACAGGCACTTAGGAGAGTAGGTTAGATAGAGCCTGGTAGAATTAGGAATAAACTTGTAAACAATAAACCTTCCTCAGTTGTCCTGTCCTGTTTGTACAGCACAACCCCAGCAGGAGTTCCTATCTCACCACCCAAACCCCAAGCAGAAGCAGCTGATCTGCCACCAGCTGAACCATTGCTGAGAAGAGCCCAGCCTGCTTTCTGAGCTCTGCATGCTGCATGCTCGGGGACAGTCCGTGCTTTGCAGTGGTTTATGTTAACAAGCATAAGAAATAAGGGGTCCAGCCTGCACATCCCCAGTAGACACTGAGTGCTACACAGCGCAGTCCCATCATGGAGAGATTGCCCACAGATAAGATCAGAGAACTGAGTCTGTGACTCCCCCCGGCCCCAAGCTGAACATCCAGACGCTGACAGCTTCACCTCAGCAGCACCCTCCCACCCCAAACCGAGCCGCTGCAGAAGACAAGGATATGCTTGCGAGTGCCTACTGGTTTTATTAGCGGTGCCACAGGGGGGTCCCAGCCCCATGGTGAGGGTTCTGGGGCGTGAGGCGGTGTCACCCTGCCTGCCCCGCTATCCCTGTGCACATCACCTGGTGGTGTCCCAAGTGTCGCAGCGGGGCCCCTGCCACTTGTCATAGCACTGGCACCTGAACTGCTCAGCCAGCCCCGAGGTGTCATCACTGGACTCCAGGCTCTGGGTCACCAGCCAGGGCTTGCCACCTTGCAGGTTGATGGCAAAGCGGAAGGGGTCGAGGTGGAGGAAGCCCTGCTTGTCCTCCTTGCGCACGCATCGGCCCTGGCCGGAGCACAAGCTCTGGCTGCAGAGATCAGTGCTGGCCGTCACATTGACGATGTAGTGGCCTAGTGGCCCTTCCACATAGTCCTTCAGCCTCAGGCACATCTTCTGCAATGGCATATGATGTTACAGTCCTGCTGGTCAGGGAATGGGGGTTCTGTGAAGGCAGTGGCATGGTGCCAACCCCAAAACTCACCTTGGAGTTGCTGTAGTTGAGGCTGCCCCAGAGGATTATGCCAGCAGCACCCTGAGCTGCACTCTCCCCGATGGTGTTCATCAGGTCCTCCTGCACCCCAGGGAGAGGAAAAGTCAACGCTGCCCAAAGAGCTAAAGATTCCCAGCACCAACCCATCAGCCTGAGCGGTACCCGCTATCCCCACACCCCCATCACCTGGGAAAGAAAGTCGACTGTGCAGTCAAAGGCAATCTGGGAGTAGGGCAGAACAGGGATGCCACCATCAAGGACACCACGCTGCATGGCAAAAGCTTCAGCCACACGGTGCCGGACGTAGGCGAGCGCCTTGTTGGTGCCGTTGAGGCAGGAGGGAAGGTAGATGCTGGGGTAGAGCGCCCGGCTGCTCTCCCAGAGCCACCACAGCTCCTTGTTCCTCTGCTGCTCCACCGCCGGGCACATCCCGGTGTAGGGCAGGCTGTCGAAGTCATTGTTGTAGCAGTCAGGGAAGCCATAGAACCCCCAGTAGCTGTCGGAACGGAGGGTCTCACCCAGCCGCAGGGTCTGCTCCATGAAGTTGCGGGCGCTCTGCTCAAACTGCTGCTTGGCCGCCTCCTTCACCAGCTCGGGGGGCCACTGCGGGTGCTGCTGCCGCACCAGCTCCTCCGACTGCTGCTGGTAGATGTCCATGGAGGCCCAGTTGCGGACCCACAGCGGGCGCCACTTCTCCCAGTCGATGACGGCCAGTCCTCTGTAGGCAGGGCTGGGCAGGGTGACCTTGATGTCCCGGGTGGCCTGCTGGAGGTGGGCCTGCAGGCTGGCATTTTGGGGGAGGCCCCCGTTCACTGGCATCCCCTCAGATGTGTAGTAGGGGAGGAGCCCCAGCTCCTTGCTGTAGAACAGGGTGATGTCCTGCCCGGTGAAGGACTGCTGGTCGTTGGCCAACACATCAAAGACCTCCAGGTTGAGGGTGACGTTGTACTTCTCGGCGCAGCGCTCCGTGGGGATGTTCCAGATGGTGACAAAGGGGCGGTTGACAAGGACAGGGCCCGGCCCCCTGGCACAGGCCAGGGAAAGCAGGAGCAGCAGGAAGACCCAGCAGGACCACCCCAATGCCATGGTGCTGGTGGGAGCAGGATGTGTCCTGAAGCAGTCTGGGGAGAGCCAAGACAAAGGGAGGCCTGGGCAGACCCCGATAAACCCAGACCTTTATCCCCAGGCCAAGCTGCCGCTGGCATTAACCCACACCCCTGTTCTCGAGCAGTGCCAGGGCCCCGCGGGCGCTTCTCCCACCTCCTCACAGCAAATCCCCAACGTTAGCCCCGGGCTAACGACCGTCAGCAGCGGGCGCGGCCGGGGAGGAATGCGCAGAGTCAACACCCGGTGATGGCCGGCGTTGAGCTGGGCTGGAAAGACAAACAGGCACGGGAAGGGGGCGGAGGGCAAGGTCACGGTGAGGGACGTGGGCAGTGCGGAGCATCGGCCATGAGCTGGCACGAGGAGGGCACGACGGGGGGGAAGCACGCAGCTCCGGGCAGGACCCGGCGAGACACAGCCTGGGACCGGCGGTGGCACCGGACGGCACCGTGTGGGGACAGCAGCCGCAGCACGGAGGGCCCGGTTTGGGGGCACTCGCAGCACAGAACGGCACCGTGCGGGGACGGGCAGCAACCGGCAGCCGAGGGGAGACGGCGGGGACAGGGCCCGTCCCGGGGGCACCCCTCCCAGGGCTGTACCCACCGCGGCCGTATCGCGCCGGTCGCTGTCGCGATATCGCGGGCACCCCGCGCGCACGGGGAACGCGGGGCGGGGCCAGACCCTCTGGAGGCGGGGCTTGCGGGAACGGGCGTGGAGAAGAGGAGCGCGGGGCCGCCCCCGCCGCTGCCTCCACGTGTGTGGCCCGGCCGTGGCGGAGCCCGCCCGGGAGCGGTGCGAGCTGTGCCCCCCCGAAACACCCCACACCCCGCTGACGCGCACCCAGCTTTATTCGAGGTAAAGCACTTCGGTGTGGGGCAGCGCACAGGGGCTTAGCACCACACAGCACCCGCTCCATGCCCCCATGCCCCCCCCCCCCCGCCGCCCCCATCTCTCCTTACAACAGGAGAGGCCCCCCCGCCCTCCATCCCAATGGTGGGCACCCGCCCCACAGGAGGGAGGGCAGAGGTAGGGCAACCGCACTGTTCTAGCCCTGGTAAGGGGCAGCCCCCCTGCATAACAAGCTGCGTCCCAGGCAGGGTTATCTTAAATAGGTCCCCTACACCACCACAGAAAGGGGGTGCCACAAGGGGCAGCTCAGTCCAAGAGGAGGTAGCACCAGCTTGCAAGCAGCAACAGCACCCCAAGTCTCAGTGGTGCCAAGAAGTCAGGGGCATCACTGCGGGGGCCAGCAGGCACCTGGCAGCTGCTGCCCTGCCAGCCCTGGTAGCAGTGGCAGCGGAAGTGGGTCCGTAGGAAGAAGGTGTCAGCAGGGGACAGTTGGCCCTCGGCCCAGAAGAGGGGGCGCTGGGGGTTGTCCCCATCCCGGCGCTGCAGCTGGAAGCTGGTGGAGTTGAGGTGGAGGAAGACATCAGCGTTGCTGTCCTGGCGCAGGCAGCGGCCCCGGCCCTGGCACAGCGCTGTGCTGCAGAGCTGCGCCGCCGTCGTGACATTTACGATGTAGCGTCCCAGGTCACTCTCCAGGTAGTTCTTGATGATCTGGCACGAGTCCTGGGGGAAGGGGGATATCAGGGGTAATGTTGAGGTGCCCCAGGCAGAGAAGCATCCCAGATGGAGAAGGCAACCCAGCCTCGATCCACTCTGGGGGCAGGTGTCCTCCCCCTTCCTCATCATCCGCCTCCCCAGGGGCACACTGACCCAAACCTACCCGGTTTTTGGTGTAGTCTGCATCACCCCAGAAAATGGCTCCGGCTGCACCCAGTGCCGCGCTCTCTCCAATGGTAGAGATCAGGTCCAGCTGTGGAGACAGAGCCCAGTTAAGTCCCTGCAGGCCCCAACACAGCACCCGCACCCCCAGCACGATGTGCTCCAAAGAGCCTGCTGCAGGGTCAGGGGGGCAAGACCCACCCCTGCACCAGGCCACAGGGAGAGGGGACTGTTCCAGCTCCTTGGGCACAAAGCTTCCCAACACTACCTTTCTCCTGTGGGACTAAACCAACACAACACAGGAGCTGTGGGTTCATGTACCCCAGGGTCCTGCCTGCTGGGACCCCGGAGACCTGTAGCACCTTCCATACACTTCCTTGGTGATGGCAACTATTTGTGCCAGTCCTGCTGCCAAATAACTGGCTCATAGCAGGGCTGTGCTGTGGGTCCCCACGCTGTGATCCCCCCTTGGAGGGAAGGCAGCAGGACTGAGCACCGTTCCTGCTCCCCAGGTCTAGTCCCATGCCAAAGGGCACTGCTCCCCAGCCCACATGGACACAGCCAAACCAGTGTGCCAGTAGGACCATGAGGGCAGACACCAGACCTCAGAGCCACCCCACTCCAGAGGGGTGGATGGCACACAGGCAGAGGCACCACCTCAGCTGACTCCCGAGCCCAGGCACACAGGTTTTGGGACGGTGACATCCCGGTGGCAGAGCCCTACCTGGCTGAGCATATCCAGCTTGCGGATGTAGGTGGGCCGGGTGTAGACAAAGACAGGCAGGGAGTAGCCATCGTGGTGCTGCTGTGAGATCCGCATGGCCTCCATCACCCGCGCCCGCACGAACTTGCGGCTGTTGGGAGTGGAGGCCAGGAGCACGTCGAGGTAGATGGAGGGGTAGAGGGCCATGCTCTCCCGCCAGAGCCACGCCAGCTGGTCATTGCGAGTCTTCTCCACGTCCGGGCACTGCCCGGTGTAGCTCTCCTTGTTCTTGCTGTAGTCATGGTTGTAGCAGTCAGGGAAGAGGTAGAACCCCCAGAGCTGCTTGGGTCGGAAGCTCTTGGCCACACGCAGGGTGCTCACCATGAACTGCCGGGCGGCTGACTCGAACTCAAACACAGCCTGCTTGTTGGCCTCCTCATGGGACCAGTTGAGCTGTCGCTGGTACACCAGCTGCTTGGACACCTCCCGGTAGATGTCCTTGGGCTTCCAGTTGCGAGCCCAGATGGGCCGCCACTCCTCCCAGTCGATGACAGCCAGCCCCTCCTTGGCGGGCGAGCGGATGTACTTGCTGATGCCCTCCTGGAGGCGTGCGAGGTGCTCGGACAAGCTGCTGTTTTGGGGGACCCCGCCGTTGACAGCCACACGCTGGCTGTTGTAGTAGGGGTAGAGCCCCAGGCGCTCCTTGTAGAAGATGGTGAGGTTCTGCCCCACGAAGCCCTCATTGGGGGAGGCCTGCAGGTCGAAGAGGCTGAAGTCGAGGGACACCTGGAAGCGGGGCTTGCAGTCCTGGGTGGGCACGTTCCAGGCCACCAGGAAGGGCCGGCGGGTGAGCAGGGGGGCGGCCGCGGGCTTCTCGGGGGGCTGCTGGGCCAGTGCCAGCAGGGCCAGCCAAGGCACGGCCAGCGCCGCCGCGCAGACCCCGCGCATCCTGCCCGAGGGGCGCCGGGGCAGCGGCGAGCCGGGGGTCAGGCGGGGCGGGCGGCTCTGCCCGCACCCCCCAAAGCAGACCCTGCCCCGAGCCCCCCGCCCGGGGCAGAAAGGCACCGGGGGAGCGTGGGCAGAGCCCCCGGGGGTTCGGCTCCCGGGATCCCGGTCCCACGCGGCTCCGCCCGCTCCCGGTGCCGCGGGTGCCGGCGCGGCGCTCCCTTTGTCCGCGGCCGGGACACAAAGCGCGGGGCGCGGCCCCGCTCGCCGCCCGCTCCGCTCCGCGCCCGCTGCCCCCGGCTCACGCCATCCCCAGCCACGGGCTCCACCGGCGTCGCCGCCCCCCGCCGCCGCTTTTAAACCTCCCCGGCGCGCACCACCCGCGGGGGCGCCGCCTCCCGCCACGAACGGCCCCGCCCCGGGCGCGCAGCGAGACGGGCTGGCGGCGCGGGGTGCCGCGGGGTGCCGCGGGTGCGGGCCGGCCGCGGACCCACACCCGCACGCGCCCACCCCCGTGGGGCCGAGGCTCCGGGCCAGGCGCCGCCGCCCCCCTGTCCCGCCGCGGTTGGTACGGCCCGGGAGGCCCCGCCCCCCACGCGGACAACGGGAGCGGTGTGGGTTGGGCGTCAGCCCGCAGGGGGCGCCGCGGGGCGGCGGGGGGAGGCGGCGCAACGGGCTGCGGGACTCGACGGCTCGGGGGGGGGGGGTCACAACGGTGGAGACCCCAGGGCGGGGGCACCCCGATAATGGGGGGGGGCAGGAGGGCGGATGGGGGCCCAGGGTGCTGGGGACCCCAGGATCATGGTCACTCCAAAACGGCGGGGACACCGGGCTGCTGTCCCCGGGTCGGTGGTGAGCCTGGAACCACAGTGAGCCCGGCACAGTGGTGGCCCTAGGCTGCTGTCCCCAGCTCATGTCACCAGAGCAGCAGTGACCCCAGAGCAGTGGCAACCCCAGGGCAGCAGTGTCCCCACCACGGTGGTGTCCCCAGGGTGATGGTGTCCCCACCACGGTGGTGTCCCCAGGGTGGTGGTGTCCTGGAGCAGCGGTGTCCCTGGGCAGTGCTGCGCTGGGCAGGATGTCCTGTGCGGGGCCAGGGCAGCCGGTACTGACTCAGCAGCAGCCCCGCAGGTTTCCTGCCCAGGGGGACAAGGGGCAGCAGGGCTGGGGGGGGGGGGGAGGGTTTCCTTCCCGGGGCACTGCTGAGGCTCCGGCGGGGCCCCCCGGGTGGGCAGCAGGACAGGCAGTGCTGAGGGCCCAGCCATGTGGCAGTGCCCATGTCCTGCCCATCCCCTGCTGCTCTGGCCGTGCCGTGCCAGGGGCCATCGGGGTGCCCCCACGGAGGAAGCGCCGGGGCTGGAGCCGAGGGTGTGCCGGGACCGGCGGGGGAAGGAAGCGGGGCTGAATCTGCGGAAGCACTCCCCAGCCACCCGCCTGCTCCCCAGGGAGCGGGTGGGAGCGCTGAGCCCGGCATTGTTCGGTGCTGGCCACCGGTGCCGCTGGTGCCGAGCCCAGGGCTGCGGGCACCCACAGATGGCTCCTGTTAGTGGGACCCGCATGGGTGTCAGCTTTGACTGCGAAGCTCCCACTGAGAGGGTGATGGTACCGCCAGGGTCGTGCACAGCATCCAGATCGAACCCAGGCTGCACCCAACAGCTTGGCCCAGCCTGCAGGCAATGCTAGGCACTGGGTGGGAGAGGGGCAGGGAAGGTCGTTCATGGGCCAGGCGTTCGTTGCCAAAACCATGGGGAGAGACTGTGGGCAGCCAAGAAATCCCAGCGCCTGCGGGCACTGCCCTTCCCCTGCGGGCAGTAAACAGGCTCCCAGAAACGCCTAAAATTTTCCATCCTCCGAGGCCTGGTGCGCTGAAGGTAAAGCCCCGCCAGCAGCGGGGTGGCTGCAGGGGTCACAGCTTTCCACTGCTGCGAGGGCTGCAAGTCCTCAACGCAACGCAGCTCCTCACTGCTGGGCTCCTTGGGAGGACTGGTTGCTACCTGCCCTGGTTTCCCTCCTGCCTTCCCTGCGGGAAGCCCTTGGATTTTGGGAGGGAGCAACTGGACAGATGCAGCCTCCCCTTTCCCATCTCACCCCAGTAAATGTGAGATGATTTGAAGCTGTTCCCAGCCGGGCAGAAGAGGAGAAAGGGAAGCAGGGCAGCATCTGGGGCGAGGCAGCAGAGTGGTTGAGAATCCCCCACCGGTGCCAGTACCGTGCTGTGAGTCACATCCGCTCGTGCCAACAGGTCCGGGCAAGGCGTGAGGAGTTCAGCTTGAGGACAGAGCATCTGCGGAGGCAGGGAGTGAGGCTGGCACCTGGATGTGCCCCGGGCTGGGGGCTGCCCTGCAGGCAGCAGGATGGGGATCCACTGGATACGGAGCTGCTCATGGGGTCAGGGAGCCACAGCCACCGCCTGGGTTAACCTCACCGATCCGTAACGCCCCGCACAGCCACCCAGTCCTCCTCGAGGTCACCACGATGTGTCCCTCCTGGGGCTGGGGCCTCTATGGATCAATGGGCAAAGGTCCCAGGGCCTCGTCCCCCGCACGCTGAAGCGCTGGCAGGACACGCCGCACCGCTCACTCATTACAGCTTTCGTCAGCGGCTCGTTTCCGAGCCGGCTTGTGTGGAGGAAATGATGAGAGGTGCCGGTGGCCGCAGGAAAACATATGCAGGGCTGGTGGGGACAGGACGTGGGGCACAGTGAGATCAGGCTCACCCACAGACAGCCGGCAATGGTCGGGAACGGGCGGCAGCCCGGCGCTGGGTCACGCCGGGTTGAGAAAGTCGTCAGGCTCCGGTGATTAATGAGGCAGGGATTTGGCAGGAACGGTGAGGAAGGAGCGGACGGGCGGATCCTGCCCCCCCACCGGGCTCACGCAAAGGGATGGGGAGAGGCCGGCTTGAGGTTGGGCTGCCCGGGTCTCCCCTGCTGCCCCCCACCCCAGGTCCCTCCAAGACCTCCTTCCCCACATGGGAAGGCAGAGGGACCCAAACAGGAACATTACATATTTATACAAACACATTTTCGTTGTGTATTTAAAGCAGCTACAAGCAGAGCCACAGCCTCACAAAGCCACCAACTCCTGCAAGCACCATGTGCCAAAGAGGATCCCCTTCATCACCCGTTCAGCCACACAAGCACAAACACCCCTAGCCTGGAAAACGAGCAGGCTGGATGTGCCAGCAGCACAGAGCAAAGCCCAGCTCCCCTCAGCTCTCCAGCATCCCCACCCTCTGCCCCGCTCCCCAGTGAGACAGCTCTTGGACTTGTGGGCTCTACAAATAATTTTATTGAAATTTAACAAAAGTGGACAGATGCACTGGGAGGAAGGACCATAAATAGTGTACGTTCCCCAACCCCTCGGGTCCTACCCACGCGCTAGAGGAGCGAAGAGCCTAGTGTCAGTGAGTACGGTTCAGATACACATCCACACAGGACAGCACAACGTCGCACGGAAATTGTAAAAAAACAGAAGAAAACCAAAAGGAAAACTTTCCTTTGTTTTTTTTTGTTTCGTTTTTTGCTTGCTCCAACACCACAGTGGACACAGATACTATTTACAGCGACCTTCACATTTTTAAGACCCCTCCATGTGCTCCCAAGGCCCTGCTGCTGCAGGAGGGGAGGCCTGGGGGCTGACTGCTCAGGGACCAGCCTGGGAAGAAATGGGGCAGGACGCAGCTTGTTGGCAGCCTGTGGAGATTCGCTGCTGATCAGCAACATGGGACGGTGGGAGAAGATGTGTGTTTTAGGGGAAGCATGTCTGATGCCCTGGGGGAAGGGTGGACAGCCTGTCAGTGAGGACAAAAGCATGCCTGCTAAGCTGGTCTCAGTCTCTTCTCCCCCCCGGGGTTCAGGCCCTGCCTTGCCAACAGATTTTTGGGTGGTAGCCAAGCGAGGGGCTCCCCGCTGGGGCAGGCAAATGGCACCAGCCCCCTCTCCATTCCTCCTCTGCCTTTCCCCGTACCCGAGGAGGGTTTGGTGCAGCTTCCCATGCCCTTCGACCAGCAGCAGGGCAGCCTGGCCATGGCTTTCTCTCCTCTCCTCTTCCTGGTGACAGCAGCTCCTGCTCTCCTGTGGAGCCGGAGGCACGGCTTTCCCAAGGAGATCCGGCCCAGGAGAAACTCGAGAGCAGGTGGTACAAGTAAGAAACACTTCAGTGGGGACTGTTTTAAGACAAGACTCTTTCAAGAAAGCAGTAGAACAAAAGATGTCGGAAGAAGCGCCCAGCATCACAGTGTAGACAAACTCCCTGCCGGAGCCCTGCCCTCCTGCTTCCCTGATGGGTGGCAGCCAGCACATCCACTTCACCCTCCGTGCTCGCTCCCGTCGATGGGAACAGTGGGTGGGGGACGTGGAGGGAAGAGGTGGTGACAGGAAGACGGCAACAGCCACACCACTGTTATCTCTCCGAAGCTTGGAATGTGGCCCCGCGCCCGGGCAGCTCTGGGTGGGCGCGGGGTTGGATACATCCAACGCAGACGCTGACAGGGCTGGCAGCCAAGTGCCAGCAGCTTAAATTAAAAATCGAGGTAGCAAACATCTGAAGTGCTTAGAAAGTAAATAAGTTCTGGAACGAAAGGAGGAAAGCCGAGCTAGCTGCTCTGGGGAGCAGGCTCTACCCCTGCTTACAGCTGTGCCCACCACCAGTCCTCCTCCACCCGCCTGGTCCGGCGTTGCAGAGCAGGTAGGCAGTGGCTGCTAGCACTGGTGAGGACTGGCCAGGCCTTCCTCAGGGCTCGCACGTAGGGATGAGAGGTCCTTTCAGTGCTGCCAAGACAACCTCAACCTTCTCAAGCAGTAGGAAAGAGGAGAAAAGAGCAGTACCTTCCGAGACAGAGCAGAAAGCCTCCCTGTAAAGTGCATCGTGTTTCTCCTCCTACCACCAGCTGGGATGCGGGAGAAACCATAGTTCACATTGCCAGGGAGATTTCCAAGCCAGGACCGGCACACCGATGGATTGTTCTCAGGGATTAGGGAAGGAAGAGAGGATTTCCTTCCTGCTTGGCCATGTCAAGGCCCACCCCACCAGGAGGATTGTCCAAGACAGTAGCGGGGAGTGAGGATGTTATGAGGAGATGCCTTGCCCAGCAGCCCGGCCCTGAAGCAGGTGAGGGATGGTGCTCAGTGGGAGCTGGTTTGCTAACAGGAGAGGCAAATCCACTGCGGAGCTGGGGACCCTGCTGCTGCCAGCAGCAGCCACGGACCACAGAGATCTCCTGCAGGCAGAGTGACTGCAGGCAGCAGCAAAGCCAGCCTTCCTGGAGCAGGCATAAGCAGGGAAACACAGAGGGGGAAGAGACCGAGGTCCAAGGTAGTGGCATCTGATCCCCGTTCCCTTCCCAAGAGGAGCGCAGCAGCCAGCCAGATGTGCTTCAAGACCAGTCCCTCCTTGGCCTGCCCCATTTATCCTTCATCAATGGATCCATCCAGAAGAGCATCACATACCACCTATGTCAAGCGACAAGTGGCAACACTGGCCATCCATCCAGCAGGCCCGAGGGAGCTTGGGGGCCCAGGCAGCACGTTCCTTTGCCCTGGCTCTCCCTGGGCCACATACCTGAGAAGCAGGGGATTTTCTCTGGTGAGAAGTGCAGGCTCGCTCTCCCTTTAACAGCTCAAACACAGCAGCTCGTTTGCAGTTCCAGTTACCCATCAAACGTCGGCTAGAGGCTACGAAAGGTATTTTCTGACTCAAGCAAGGATGTTTTTAAGCGGTCGTTGCACAAGGTCACCCATCTCCTGTGAGGAACGGATCGCCAGCCAAGCCAGCCCAGCCTGCTCCATCCCGCCTCACCTCCGGGCGAGGGGAGAGCAACGGTCCCTGCCGCACGCCCAGAGTCCTCCTCGGGTGGGAACACAAGGCAGCCTCGCCTGGTGAGGCTGGGGGCAGTGGGGCAGCAACGTCTGGCAATTCACACCTCGCAGATGATCACCGGGAAATCCACGTGAATGCGAGGGTGCTCTAGCTTCACTATGCCCTGAAAGAAGAGTCAGAGTGGTGAGCACAAGAGAACACTGGAACAACAGCCCTGAGCCCTGCCCTGCAAGTCAACCTGTGCGAGAGAGGGCACTGCGCCCTCGAGGAACGGCAGTTCACAAAGCACCGTGACACCAGGTACGCCTCAGCAGCGGCATGCAAAGCCAAAGCACTTTGCCCTTCGAAGTCGTCCCTGGAGAGGCGAGGGCGGCAGGGCTGGCGGCCACACATGGCGGGTCCAGAGCTCAGCAGGGCGAGAAAGGAGGGAGCTGCTCTGCCAGGCACTGCCCGTGCAGCAGCTGGTGCGTGACTGGCAGATATTGCCCGTCTGGGCTTTTCATCCGGCACCTTTCATTCACGGGATTTAAATGAATGAAAAGAGCTCTCTGAGAGAAAGCAGCCAGGGCAGCTGGCACACAAGAAAAGCAGCTTTCTATCCAAAGGGGAGGCTGCTGAATGCACGCTCCCTCCATGCCAGCTACAGGCGCCTTTCCCATGCTCCGTCCAAGCCTTCTCCTGTTACTGCACCGAGAGGACCCGCTGGCAGGTGGGAGGCTCGGGGTGGAGGGGGGAGCAGGGCTCACGGCTGGGCCTGCATCCACAGGGCCAGAGAAAAGCCTGGGCTAGCAGAGGGCTGTTAGTGAGTGCTGGTCCCTGCTCTTTCCCGCTCAGCCGAGCTTTCCAACAGTGAGTTTCAACCCACACTGATGAGGAGTCAGTCCCACAGCCCAGGCCTGTCCCTGCAAGAGCAGCAGCTCGGGAGCCTCTTACCCCCCATAACTGCTTATGCAGTGCTTAGAGGGGTCCCATCCCACTGTGAGGCTATCCACCCCTCAGAGCACACCAACGGCTTGCCCAGGCACTCACTAGAGCTGTACCTTTCTGCTTGCTTAGGAAAGATTCCTGCAAGGACTCTCTCCACTTATGCCCCTAGAAGCTTCCCTACCTGCAGGCTATCCTTCTCCTGCACTGAGACCCTCAATTTGTGCTCCAGACCCTGTCCAGCTCCATCCCAGTTGTGTGCTTTAAGAGGAGACTTTTGCACTGAGGTGCAGAACACACAGCTGTCAACATCTCTCCCACGACCAAGCAGCCAGAGGAAAGTGCACACTCATGTCAGCAGGTGATGGGCTTCGAATGATGCTCCTGAAGCCAGGGCCTGGCCCTCCACAGAGACCTGACACTCGGCTGAGCAAGCACAGCTCCCCACACCTCGAGGAAGGTGGTAGGCAATTGGATGTCACAGCCATGCAGGGCTGCCTGGCACTTGGCACCCCACAACACGCACCCAGCTGAGCTGCCTTCCCCAGCCAGGCAGCTATAAGGGCCTGGGGCTCCGCTTCTCTCTGGAAAGTGGGGCTGGAGGGAATCACCAGCTCTCCCTCTCCTGCTACAGCCTCACTAAGTGGCACAAGTGTGAGCCAGGACACACAGGAGTCAGGGCTCTGCGGGAGAAGCTGGGTGGAGCTGCCAGCCTTTGCCTTCCCCAGCAAGAAGATGCCCCGCGGGAGAAGGCCGGCATGCAGAGGCCCCTGCAAAGCTGGAACTTCAGCTGTTGCGGTTGTGCTTCAGCACGTCCTTTCCCCGCACGCTACCTGAGGTATCAGGTTCTTGTGGATCCTCTTCAGCTTGGCGCGCTTCCTCCCGTTCTTGGTAACGATTGTCTCCTCGTAGAACTCGTGAGCCAGATCCCCATCCTCATCGTAGTACATGGAGCTGCCGAGAGGAGATGGGAAGCGAGCAGGTAAGAAAGAGCCTGCACGGGAGGCGGCTCCCGGCCTCCCGTGCCCGGGGCTGGGCCGGGCTGGCACCACCAACCCTGCGAGGCCCGCGGGCTGCCCTCCCGCTGCCCCGCCGTGCAGTGCTCGTGTAGGCCCCATAGCGGAGCCCCCCCCCCCGCTACCATGGCAACCGCCGCCCCGGCCTCTCACCCGCGGCGTGTGAAGACGAACGGGGTGGCGGCGCGCGCGGCCCGCGCCCGGGCCAGGGCCTGCTGCCCGCCGGCACCCTCAGCGCCGCCGCCGCCCGCCGCCGGGGAGGCGAAGGGCCACAGCCCCCGCGACTTGGAGCCGCTGGTGCCCATGGCGGCGGCGGGGGCGGCGGGAGCGGCCCGGTGACACCGACCGAGCACCGCCCTGCGTGAGCCGCTGCGACACTTCCGGTGCCCGCGACACCGCCCCCCCACACGTGACCCGGGAGGGCGGAGCTGACCGCGTCACGTGAGAACTGCAAGGGGCGTGCCCACCTCCCCGCTTGGCGCCGGCGGGAACTTCGGAGACGCGGGTTCGAGCCCCGACGCGGACCAACACCACGTGCGCGCACTCACAGCCCGGTGGCACCGGGGGGGTCCTCGTGTCCCTTCCCCGTACCGATCCCCCCCCCCCCCCCCCCAAGATAAGCCACAGGCCAGGCCTCGTCACCAAGATGCTTTTATTGGTGCTCGACGCCCTGCTTCCCCCCAGGGACACCCATTTCATCCCGGGGACACCTACTCCCCTGGGGACACCCACTCCCTGGGCCAGCCCCATGGGGGCTGTGACGGTGGGTCACGGGGTGCCCCACTCCACCCCCCCCTCCCAGTGCCCCCACCCGCCGGCGGGCAAGGGTCCCAGTGTGCTGCCTGACCACCAGCGCAGATGGCACGGTCACCCCGGTGTGTACGCAGCCAGAGCCTCCTGCATCTTCTGTCGGCAGCGGGCGTAGCGGTGCCGCAGCTGGCGCACGTGCTCCTCCTCCTCCCGCTGCAGGATGCGCAGGAAGTTGTGCAGCTCTGGCAGCGTGAAGGCGTCCCACTGCGGGCACACGGGCTGCTGCCGCAACGAGGACGTGGTGTGTCCCCCCATGGCTGTGTCCCCCCCAAGGCCACGTCCCCTGGTCCCCTCATGGCCACATACCACCAGTCCCTTCCCCCATCCCCACACTCACGTTCACCTCCCCGGTCTCATTCTCCTTCAGGACGAAGCTCAGCACCTTCTCGCTGGGGCCAGCCAGCAGCCGCAGCCGCAAGGGCTGCTCCTCATCAGCCAGCTTCCGTAGGTACACTGCAATGGCAGCCATGTGTCACGGGGGGGACACTGCCACAGGGACATCACCACCATGGGGACACTGCCACTATAGGGACACCACTGCCACTATCGGGACGCTGCCACTATAAGGATGCTACCAGTGAAGATGCTGCCACTCCGCAGACATCAGCACCATGGGGGGGGATACATTGCTGCCATGAGGGACATGGGCATAACAGGGACATTGCTGCCAAAGGGGAATACCACTGCTACAGGGACGCTGCTGCCATGCAGACATCGCCATGGGGACATAAACTGCCACGGGGGATAGTGCTGCCATGAGGGGACATCCCTACAGCCACTTAGGACTGCCAAGGGGGATACCATCATAACAGGGACACCGCCACCATGGGGTACGCCACCACCTGGGGACATCACCACCATGAGGCTACCACCACTGAGGGGAAAACTGCCACCGTGGGGCCTCAGCTATGGGGACTGGGCCACCCCTGGTACCTTGCTCATCCTTCTCGGACCTCTCGAAGAGGGCGAACTTGCGAGGGTTGTCGATGACGGTGAACTTGCGGAGGAGAGCATCGATGACCTCGCTGGCACGCGTGTGTGAGAGGATGTGCAGGTGCTTCACGGTGCCCTTGGGCAGGTAGAAGGATGTGCGGCGCTTCACCCCCTGCGTGTGCGGCCCCGACCGCCCTGTCTGCAGCGCGGGGACCCGCTTGGTGGCCGGCACCGAGACGGGGCGCACCAGCTTCAGCTGCACCTTGATGAAGCCGGTGTAGGAGCCATCCTTGTTCTGGGAGACACCGGTGGGGGGGTGAGCAGGGCCAAGGCAGGACACTGGGATTCCTCCGCAGCCCCATGCCAGCCCCGTACCAGGCTCATGAAGAGGTTGCTGTTGATCTGGCTGTTGTACTCCTTGATCCGCTGCTCCACCTGCGCCTGGTCCAACTCTGCCTTCTCCCACTCGCTGGGCTCATCCTACACGACAGCAGCCGGGCTGAGCGGGACCCCTCCGCCGGTCCCGGCATCCCGCGGCCCCCAGCCCGCCCCGAACACTGGCTCACACATGCACACACACACACACACACACACACACACACACACACACAGAGGCGGTTGCGCGGGGTTGCATCAGCCCGGCTGATGAGCTCACCGTGCCTCCAGACCGGCACCAGTTCCCCCCAGGCCCTCGTCCCTGGGCTGCAGGGATGGGTGAACCCGCTGCGAGGACAGCCCTGCCGGCACCCCAGATCACAGAGGCGTCCCCAGGGCAGAGCGCTGGCAGCCGCCAGCCCGGCACCAGGGCAGGAACCCCGGGATTCGCCCATGCTGCCGGCACCCCACTTCAAAGCGCCGGCCCCACACAGGGGAATCCAGGCTCAGCGTCCCACCGCCGGCACCCACTAATGAGTATTTACATGGGGCCGAGGAGCACCCAAGACTCCTGGCCCCAACGGCCACCCTAGGGCATGCGGGTACTGCCGGACCCGGCTGTGGTCCCCACGAGGGGCTAATGCTGGCACCCCCAAACACTGTTCTTCACTCCCTCCGGGAGAATCCAGCCTCGGGGGCCATGGGGCCGCCGTGCCAGACAGCACAGCCCCACTCACCCCACTGTGCCTCGCTCGCCCCACAGCGTTGCATCTACCCCCCACAGGTAGCCCCACAGCAAGGCAATGCTCAACCCCCAGGACTGAACTGCCTGCACCCCATATCTCCCTCACGGCCGGGCAACAACTGGCCCCCCTCGCATGCCCCTCAAGCACCCACCCCGGGGGGGGTTGCCCCCCCCCGCCTGACGTCACCGCATCCCCCGTTACGTCACGCCAGTGGACCGGGACCGACCTGGCGGCGGCGCGGGCGGCGGCCGAGGGAGGTGCGGGCGGTGTAGAAGAGCTCGGGCTCGGAGTCGGAGTCCTCCTGGCTGCAGTAGCCGCTGCTGGCGGTGCTGCCCCCCGTGCCCCCCGCGCCGCCCCGCCGCAGCGCCAGCCCCGCCACCGCCCCGCAGCTGCTCCCGGACCCGCCGCCCCGCGACCCCGATCCGGCCACGGGCACGGCGGCGGCCACGGCCCGGGCCGGCCGCCCCACGGCCCCACCGAGCCCGCGGGCACACGGGCACACCCGGCCCCGCGCCAGCCCGGCCGGTCCCCGGGCTGGGGCCCGGCTCTGTCCGCTCCCGGCTCGGCTCAGCCCGGCCCCGGTTCCTATCCCGGCTCGGCTCAGCCTGCTCCCGGTCCCTGCCCGGGCTCGGCTCAGCTCGCTCCCGGTCCCTATTCTGGCTCGGCTCAGTCTGCTCCCGGCTTGGCTCAGCCCAGTCCTTGTCCCAGCACGGCTCAGCCCGGCCCCGGTCTCTATCCCGGTTCGGCTCAGCTCGGTGCCGGTTCTTGTCCCGGCTCGACTCAGCCCGGCCCCGGTCCCTATCCCGGTTCGGCTCAGCTCGGTGCCGGTTCTTGGCTCGGCTCGACTCAGCTCGGTCCCGGTCCCTATCTCGGCTCGGCTCTGCCTGGTCTCTATCGCGGTGCCTGTCCCCGTCCCGGCTCGGTTCAGCCCGATCCCGGCTCGGTTCAGCGCAGTCCCGGTCCTTGTCCCGGCTCGCCTCCGCCCGGTCGCTGTCGCGGTCCTGTCCCGCTCCCGGCTCAGCGCTGCCCCGGCCCCGCCCCGCCCGGGCCGTGGGGGTGACGCGGGCCGGGGGCGGCGCGGCGGGGCCCCGCTTCCGGCGGTGATTTCACCCGCTCCCGGAGCCGCCGCTCCAGGCCGAGCCGTGCCGGGGCACCGGGGGGCACGGAGCGGGACAGCGGAGCCTGGGCTCGGCACGGCGGGGTCCGGCCCGGCTCGGCACAGCCTGGACTGGCACAGCACGGCACGGCTGACACCGTCCGGCATGGCATCGCCTGGCATGGCACGGCACTGCCCAGCCAGCATGGCCCAGTGCAGCCTCACACGGCACAGCCCAGCATGGCACATCAAAGCCCCGCATAGCCCGGCACAGCCCAACACAGCGTAGCCTGGCACACCATGGGTACAGCGTGGCACAGCACTGCCGGCATGAGATGCCATGGGCTCACCCCCAGCCCGGGCAGCCCCCAGGGTTGGCCACTTCCCACCCTCCCTCACAGACCCAGGCCGGGTCCTACCACGTTGGTGTCCTTCTCCAGCGCCTGCTCGTTGCCATCGTCCTCATCGCCAGCACCCGGGGGGCCACTGCAGTCCAGCCGCACCAGGGCCCGGCACCGGTAGTGGCAGGTGAAGCTGCAGTCTAGGGACAGGGATGGGACCAGTGTCACCACCATGGCCCTGGGTGTCAGGGTCACCAACTGTGCCTGGGAGGGTACTGGTGCCTGGTGGGACAAGGGCTGGTGTCTGTGTCAGTACTGGTGCTCAGTGCCAGCTGCCTGCCCATGCAGTGTGGTGCCAGAAGCCCAGGGAACAGCACCCACATGGGACATGGTGCTGTGCAGGCACTAGAGTGCCTGTGCTCCCTGCTTGGGCCTCTGTTGTGAGTGCCTGATGGCTGGGATGCTCAGTGCCCAGTATTGGAATGCCCAGTGCCTGGTACCAGGCTGCCTGGTGCCCGGTGTGGGTGCCCAGTACTGGGATGTGTGGTGTCTGGTGAGGATATTTGGTTTGGGGCTGCCCACTGCCTGGTGCATGTGCCCAGTACTGGGATGTCCAGTGCCTGGTAGAGGTACCTGGTGCCCAGAGGCCCAGCACCTCTGTACGGTGCCTCCCAGCACAGGGATGCCCAGTACTCAGTGGGGTTGCCAGTAGCAGGATGCCTAGGGCCTACGGGACGTAATCAGTACCAAGACAACCAGTGCTGGGGTGCTCAGTGCCTGCCTGGGGCAGGTGCCCAGTCCTGAGACGCGTGGTACCTAGAGAGGGTGCCCAGTTCCAGGATGCTCAGTGCTTGTTGTGGGTGCCTGGTGCCAGGATACCCATGCCCAGTGGGCGCTCCCCACCAGGACTGCCGGCGGTGGGGGTGCCCGGTGGGGGATGCCCTGTGCCCGCCGGAGGTGCCCGGTGGCGGGATGCCGGTGCCCGATGGGGGTGCGGGAGGCCCGGGGCGCAGCGCGGTACTCACGGCGGCACTGGAGACTCTTCCTGCCGCCGCCCCAGACGAAGTCCCCGCAGAGGTCGCACCAGGTGTGGAGCCCGCGGCGCCGCGGCTCGAAGCGGTGCCCGGCGCCCGGTGCCGCCGTCAGCCTCGGGTCGGGGTGCGTGCCGGGGCCGGGCCGCCGGGCCGGGCTGATGCGCAACGCGTTGGTCCGCTCCAGGCGGCCCCGGCCCGGGCGCGGCTCCGGCTGCAGCTCCCGCAGCTCGATGAGCTCCATGGCCCGGCGGCCGCGGGCGCTGCGCGGCGGCGGGGCGGGGGCCGGCCCCGGGGAAGGGGCCGGGGCGGGGACCGGAGGGGCCGCCCCGTCCGGACACCGCGGGGGAAACTGAGGCAGGAGCGGGAAGTGATGGGGGAGCCGCGCAGAGCCCCGGGGTCCCGACGGGCGCCCCCGGCCCCGGCGCGCCCGGCAGGGAGGGCTGGAGGCGGGGATGACGCTCTCGCAGCCGTTGCCGGGGAAGGGGGGGCCCAGCTCCGGCAGTCCCGCTCTCTCCGGCGGGATCGGGGCAAGCCTCGCTCCGGGACGCGGCTTCCCAGCGGGGCAGGCGTTTGGGACCCTCCGGCGGCTGGGGAGAAGCAGCCAAAGCACCCCCGGAGAGCCCCTGTGCTCCGCCTGGCCACAGCCGCAGCCGAGCAGCCCGAATCCAGGCTGCGTGGCCGGACAGGGATGGTTTCCTGCCTGCTGTCGTGGCTCCTGCAGCAGCAGCAGTGCTGTGCAAAGCCTGTGTCAGGGTGTGTGAGTGCATGGGCTCAGACACCCCATCCAAAAAGGGGCTCGGCCCTGGCAACCTTTCTCAGCTGCGCGCAGACCGAGGCTCCAGCCCTTTGGCAGCTGCTGCTGCCTGGGGAGACGGGGTCATGCACCCCGAGGCAGCGCAGGCCAGCAGTAAACCCTGCAGAGATGCTGGTGAGCAGGGGGCAAGCTCTCAGTGCTAAGTCACATCTACTGATGATCATCCCTGCATGATGGCATATCATGAACACCTGAGGAACTCATGTGCTTTCTCAGCGAGGTGCTCATGCTAACCACATCCTTTGCTCACCCCGCCACTCCAACACGGCTGCCAAAAGATAAGAGGTGACATGCAGGCCTTCTCACCCACTTCCCTTCCCAGCACAGCCACAGAGGGCTTGACCAAAACTTCCTGACTCCCTTTTTGGGTTCTCTGGGAACTCTGTTGTTACAAAGGGGGCAAACAGGCACACTCCCCCTCTCCCTAAGTGCAAGGGAGGGGAGGAAGCAGTTTAGCATCTCCAGCTAGGAGACCAAGCAGAAGCCAAGCAGCAGCGTGGTGCACAAGCAGGTTTATTGGAGAAGGCTGCATGAGGGGTGGCAGGAGGGGCTGAGCCGGGGCAGTGCTGCCCGGGGCTGGGAGCAGGCAGGAGGGCCCTCTACGGCTTCTCTGCTCTGGTCACCAGACTGCACACAGAGGGGAAACCCCTGCCTGGGCGAGCTGCAGCCCACATGCCAGTCACTTCTTCTCTTACAGGTCATGCACGCTTGTTGACGCCCCAGCCATCAGGTTGCAGGCAATCTTGTGCTTCTGCCAATGCTGGACCTGGCATGCCCTGTGGAAGAGAAGTCGCTGCTCAGGGGCTCTGCTGTGAAGTGGGGTGCCCAAAGCTTGAGCAGGGACACAGCAGGGCCACGTCCAACCCCAGGAGTGAAGCAGTGACGAGGACAAACCCCAGCAGCATGCTCCTGCGGGCACCGGGGGCGGAGCTGGCAGGGCTGAGCGTTAGCCCAACAGGGAGGTTGATGCAGCCCTCAGTTGCAGGGTTAAGACGGTTTAACACCAGCCCTTGGCAGATGGTTCAGGACCAGAGATCTAATTTACTGCCACTACCCCAGCTGCCACATCTCAGGCTGTCACCTGCACCCACAGAGCCATGGGTGCTTTCCTCCCCACTCATGCCACACCAGGGTGCAGGGGAGGGAGACACTGTCACCATGGGAAGTGCAGCCCATCGCTGCTGTCAGTGTGGGGCAGAGGCAGCTCAGCACCTCGCTGTGGCAACACAACCCTCCACCAGTGTCCTGGCACATCAGCCTTGCCATAAGATGTGGAGAGGTACATGGCAAGTGGAGTGATAGCACTGCAGAACAGGGAGCACTGGGGGCTGCAGGGACACGGGGACTGCAGGGCTCCCTTACCGTGAGCAGTACCACTCGTTCCGGCAGCGAGAGCACCGCTTGGCCGCCTCTGTGCCACACACCCTGCAGCGGGGCTTGTCGGGGGCCAGAGCCTCCATCATGTCCAGGCTGTAGGTCTCTGCCCACCTGCAGCAGGCAGAGAAGGGGTGAGGCTGCTCACAGGGAGCTGCCCACAAGCAGTGAGCTGTCCCCGCTGCACCCTGTCACACAGCGACATCCCCAGCAGCACCACAGACCCCTCCACCCTCCCACTGTGAGCTCCATGCTGCTAATGGGGATACCGGTTCCACGGGGCACCCTGTGTGCATGTACCAGGGCCCTACCTGCGAGCCTGGAGCTTCAGCTCCTCCTCGGTGGGGCTGAAGACACGCTTCACCTGGTGCTTGGCAATGGCCTCCCACTTGCCTGCATTTTTCTTGAGGATGTGGTCCCAGATGACGGGAACCTGTGGGGAGAGGCAGAGCAGGAGGAAGGGGTGCTCGTAGCTGTGGTGTGGGGGCCTTCAAGGGGACAGCCAGCCCCAGGCATGAGAACCATGTGCAGAGAAGGAGCAGGGAGCAAGGGTGTGCTTTTGGGTACCCGGAGGGAATGGTTCTGCTCGACAACGGGTGTTCAGGTGAAACAAGGCAAAACCTTTGGGGTCTGGCTGGAAGCGAGAGTGAAGCCCCTGACTAGGAAGGCCTGGGCTCAGCCCCTGCGTGCCATCAGCAGTGTGAACCCCATGCTCCGGAGCCATTTGCCTGAGCACAGTTTTCCACTCGTTACTTCCCTGAAGGCGAGCACCCGGGGCAGGGCTGACCAGTGCGAGAGGGAAAGCACCAGCCAAGAGCAAGCGTGGGGAGTTCAGGCTCTGGAGATGCTGCTTCAAACGGCGCTGCCTCCTCCAGCACAGCAAAAATAGCCAGGCCTGGAAGGGGAGGAGGCTGCTCTGGGAGCAACCGAATGGAAAAAGGCCTTTCCTCAGCTTGGCTTGGAGACAAGGAGTGAGTTCACCGCTTTCTGGGCAGAGCAGGGAGCCCCTGCGTGTGCTTCCAGCTGGCTCCCCCTGCCTGCCCCCCGGCTCAGCCCCAGCCCTTGGCAGAAGCAGGAACGGCACCGGCACAAAAGCAGAGCTATGGAGAAGGGCAGCAGCCTGGGCAAGGGCTGGACGAGGTCCCCGGGCAGCAGCTGCCTGTCCCAGTGCCACTGACACGCTGGCAGTTGAGGTCTGTGGAGCTAATCCGTAACCACCTCATCCTGCTGCCATCCCAGCCCCAACCACTGGCCTTCTTCAGCCCCAGCTCCTGGCATTTGCCGTGGCTCAGCTTTGCATAGGGCACATTACCCCTCTCCTGGGCCTTGCACCCAGCTCTGCTGGGGACAGCATGTTTGCTCTCCTCGCTGCCCAGCCTACCCATCTGCTCCAGTTAGCGGTGTAGGAGCCTCCAGCAGTGGGGAAGAGCCTCTGCTTTTCCCAGCTGCCTGTTTGCAGATCTGCAGTTTCTCCCCTCAGCTCACACAAAGACACACTTTGAAGGAACACTTTACTCCAGAGATTACCACTGCGTGGATTTAAACCCCCAAGAACCTCACACTGTTTGAAGATCCTCAGGGGTCAAGCTTCATACATCAGCCGGGAGCAGGCTCTATCCCCAGACCTTGGCATCCCACTGGACACAGTGTGCCAAGCAGCCCATGACCGGGGGGGTCCAGAATTCAGCAGGAGAGCACTGATAAATGTTAAATGAAGAGTTAATTGTTAAAGCAAACTAGGGGTGTCTCTGCCCCATGCAGTCCAATGCAACCCAGAGAGCTTGTTTATGACCCAGCATTTACACCTTTAGATGTGACTGCATGGCTACTGCACTGGCAGGACAAGACTCCCACGTTGCATACAGGCACCTCTGCTAGCAATAAAGGTGTAATTGTGAAACGGGTGTTTGGCTGCTTCACCCTGGGCACCACCTCACCAGAGCTGAGCTTAGGGGGAGAAAAAGGGGGTAGGGGGTTACCAGGCTTAAAGCAGAGAGGTGAGGGAAGAGCAATGGGATACCTGCTCCAGGACAAGATCCTTTTTGGGGGGAGCTGGCTCTGTCACTGCAAGGTGGCTCAGAAATCTCTGCATCTCCACCAGGTTGGGAAGCTGGTCAACAAGGACATCTGTCAGGAACACACGGAGCTGTGGCCACAGAAGGGAAGAGAAGTGAATGGAGGGAGGTCAAGACAAGGGGGCCAGAGCTGGGGAAGCAGCATGGCATGAGCAGGGATCTGTGGGGCACTGGCAGAGTGACCCATAGGGGTCCCATAAGGTGCACTTGCAAACACAAGCTTTGCTGCTTCTGGCACGGTGACAGTCCCCACTGCTCTCCCACCACTGGCTTCTAGGAGCCCACAGAGAGGACAAGGAGAGATGCATGGAGGTGCCTAGTGCTGGCAAGGTCCTACCCTGTGCTGTGGGGCTCACAGCCTTTTTGGTGTAGGGTCCTACCTTAAGGAGCTGGCTCCTGTTGAAGCCATCAAAGTGGTATTTGCGCTGGCACTCGGGGCTGAGCAGGAGGTTGAGGAGGGCAATCCACACCTGCCCATCCAGCTTGGTCATCTTCACCTGGTCTTGAGGGGGCACCTCGTGCCACGTGCCGTTCTCAAACTTCTTGAGCTTGCCTGAGGGACAGGAGAACACAAGGCTCCAGGGAGAGACTGCTGCAGGCCAGAGGTGGGGATGCCAGCCTGCACTCACTGCCTCACTGCAGTGAAGGCAAGCCCCTATGCTTCTGCCTGCTTCATTTTCCCCACCTTTTTGTTCAGCATAGCAGCCTGCTTGGTACTGAGACAATATATTAGAGTATGAAAAGCATAAAGAACATGTATTAAAACAAAAGGGTTGTGGCACGAACTGGAAGATCCCTGAGGTATCTCCCTCTGTACTTGGCCAGGAGTGTAGAGCACTGGTAGATGGTGGGGGAACCCACAGTGCAACAACAGAGTGGCTCGAGAGCCATGTTTTGGGCTGGCCAACAAGCCAGCATGGCCAACATCCGCTTTTCTGGAGTTTCTTCTGCCTGTGAAAGCCGCAAGTAGCATAAATACAACCAAAGTGACACAACAAGCTCCAGGAGCTACTGTGCTGCTCTGGGGGGTGGAGGAGGATGTAACCCTGCATCTGCATAGCCTGGAAGTGCCTTTGCACTCTTGTTTCTTTCTAGGCCCTCCCTCAGGGCCTCAGATCAAAGCTCCCTCTTGACACAGGCAGAGGGAAGGGATGCCTTTCGTGGCTGGAGGAAGGAGGAAAGCTCCCACAACCAGCTGGGCCCCTCAGCAGGCACAGAGCCACGTGCTTCCCAGCATCTCTTCCTCCCCTGCCTGTGCTGTGACCCCCTAGGTACAGGGCTGGGAAGGGGTGTGGGTTCCTGCAGCCCAGGCTGTGCCCACCCCTGCTCAGAGGCAGGCAGTGGGGGAGCTGGGGGGTGGCAGGGGGGCAGGAGGCAGGGCTGATGGCGATGGGCACAACCTGATCAGAGGCCTTTGGCAAGAGCGAAGCTAAATGATCAGCAGCCTCAGGGCCAGTGGTTTGCTGCCTGGGAGAGCCTTGGATTCTTAGTGCTGGTCCTATAAAGGTGCAGAAAGGCTGAGACGGGCACTCTGGTCTTTCTGTGCCCCGGACAAGACTCCCCAGAGGAGCAAGTGAGGCTGGCAGACCTGCTACACTCCTGTCCTGGCCGTGATCACCTCAGAGGAGACTTATCCCTGTGTGAGGATCGGCATGGGAAGCTCTGCAGGGGTCCCCAGCCCAGCTGTGCTGCAGCTGCTTTCGGCAGGAAGCATTAGTGAGGAGCAAGGGGAGGAGGCTGGAGGGGAGGCTAGAGGGGGAGCAGCTTTCTGCAAGGGCTCCTACAGCCTATCATCGGCAGATGCAGGTCCCAGCATGTCATCACGGTGCCCTGGGTACCACAGGGCACCATCAGTACCTGCTTCCCGGCAGCTCCAGGGGCAATGCTCCACCAGCTCAACAAGGAGGCAGGGCAGGTTGTGGGTGCTCAGCATCCGTGTCAGCGCGCTCAGGGGCAGGCTGCAAACACGGCAGAAAGGGTGAGTGGGGCTGGCAGACAAATGCAGAACAGATACAAACTGCCTCCCTGAGGCAAATGGGGGAGGCAGGAAAAACACAACGGTCTGGGTTCCTGGGAGCACCATGGAGCAGGGTGGGTGCTGCTGCCTTTGCCCCCTGCGGCACTGCCACCACGGATACAGGCAGCTGCTGAGAGGGATCCCAGGCACCCGCTGTGATCCCATGGAATCTACATTGGAGAGCTGGGCACATGTGCTCTGCTGGTCCTGGGCGCTCACCTCTCCACCTGGTCAGTGATGAACCGCAGCACGGAGAGGGCTTTCAGGGCAATCTCAAACTCCATCGCCTCCGCCTGCTTCTGCAGCTCCTGCGGGGGGACAAGCACAGCCTCAGGATTGCAGGCCCCATTTCCCAGGAGCTACAGGGAGGAAGGCTGCGGGCTGCATCGGTAACCACAGACTGGGGAGGAAACCAGAGCCCTGCAAAACAAACTCTGCTTCTCCTCTTGACTGTGCCTGCGCTGCCTGTTTGACAGGGCAGCTGCAGAAGTGCTCACGGCACATTGCTGCTCATTCCTCATCCCCCTACTCCTAACGGGTCATGGGAGGTCACCAGCAGCAGTGTCCCAGCACAGGTACACCTCCTGGAAGAGGCCAGTCCCAGACTGCTCCTCTCTCCCATTCTGGGATCATCCTGCAGCCCGTGGCCCTGCAGAGATCTGTGAGGTTCAGGCAGGGGGAAAGCTGCATGATCAGCAGAGGAACTAGAGGAGGAGGAGGGACAAAGTTGGCCCTGGCACAGCTGCAGTCCTACACCCACCCCTCCTGGATCTGCCTCTGCTCTACAGCTTGTGTCCAGCCAGCTGGAGTATCTGCCTGTGGTTATCCCAGTCCACAGCTATGCCATGCTCTCCAGCCACCGGGCCTCCTTCCCTCCCCAGGCAGCACGGACACCCCATCTGATCCCCACGTGCTCAGGATAACAGCCTGACCACCCTCTGCCTCAGCCTCATTCGGGACCACTGGCACAGCCGATCTGAACAGCGGTGCCAAGTCCCTCTCCTTGGCCCAGGCACAGCTTCTCCTCCCCGGTCCCAGATGCTCAGCAGCTCACATTTCTGTGTGCAGAGCACTGAGCTCAGCACCTCGTGTTCCTCTAAAGTGCCACCGCAACTGTTCCCTTACAAATTCCTGTGGTAAGAAGCCCTGTGCTTCCCGTGCCAGTGCCCCACACGCTACTAAGAAAACCCTATGGGCTCTTATCCCCCTCCCTCTCCAAACTCCTGCAGTGAGGCCCTTTCATACAGCTCCTCCTGATATTCAGACCTCAACTCTGCTACCTTCAGGCAAGGATTATGTTTTGCCTGTGCTTCTGGGGGACAGCAGAACAAGTCCTGCTCCAGGGGTTATCGCCACGCAGAGTCACAAAGGACAACAGGCTCCACAACACAGGAGAAGGCAGGAACAGCTTTTTCATAGGGGGTTATTGTACGTGGAGTCAGGAGGGGCTGGAATGAATCAGAGGAAACCAGGCTCCTTGGGAGACGAGTGCTTTTTAGAATGCTATTGGCTGAAAAGATTGTTTTATTTTAAACTTGAGCCATGTCAAAGCACTAACAGAGACACCCCCTCCCCTCCCCAGCTGGGAAAACATTTCCTGGAAAACATCCCTATTGTGCTCCGGAGCCCTCCACTTCCTTCCCTTTTCTGGGAGAGGAGCACGTGCTCAGGCAACAAGCCAAAGGATGGAGGCAGTGTGGGGAGGTCCAGCCAAGTTTGCAGTCACTTTAACCCTGCTGCTCCAGACACTCCTCGTGGTGTGTGCAGTTTGAAGGAGAGAACTCGAGGCGCTGAGAAGCAAAGAGAGCTCCCACAGCAGCCTGGGAACACCTCGGTAGGAACAGCTCTGGACTCGGGGCTGGCCCGGACCAGCACAGAGAGGAGGTGTTTCTCAGAGAGCCAAGCAAATTGGAGGGAACCATGTTAGGATGATTCCTCGTCATCTTATACGTTGATTTAGGGAAGGATCCCTCTCATGGTTAACCCTGGCTGGCTCTTAGCAGCAGCCAGCTGCTAAGGTGGCTTCACAAGCTGCAGGGAGACATAGCCACACAGCTTTCAAGAGCAGTGGCAAAAGGCCAAAAAGGCAATGAATATTTTGCCTTACTGTCAGCTCTCCAGCATCCCCCCTCAGAGCTCAGACCGTGCCCTGCAGGAAGCCTCAAGCTGGAAGCCGTGGCTGTCTCCATGGGAAGACCCCCTCTGTGCCCCTTCAGGCTGCCCACATCCTCCATCATTTGTGTCCCCAATGAGCTACAGGACTCTCTCCTCACCTGCATGGATGAGGGGCTGGCCACATCCTCAGGACAAAGCTGTCCCTTGGCGCTCCGAGCTGCGAGCAGTGTCAGTTTTCGGTGGCAGTAATCAATCAAATCCAGAATGCTGTCCTCTGCTGACTCGCAGACCTCCTTCACAGCAACAGGAGTTTCAGAGGGTCAGCCCCACGGCTGTGGATTTCCATCCTCACCTGAGGAAAGCTGAACCTGCCTCTTACCTTGTAAAAAAACACTGTCTCCAAGAGGTTAATGATGGAGGCTTCATGATGCAGCTGCGGGAGGGAAATGACAGGAGTTAGATCACAGTGGAGCAGCCACTAGCACAGAGGGCACAGGCAGTGGGATCAAGAAAAGAGCTCTTCTAAGAAGCTGCTTATGTAGTTGTGGCCAGACACAAGTCCAAGAGCCAAATGCAAGTGATGTAATCTTTAAAACAACTCCAGGTCATGCAGTTCACATTAATGTTTATGTTAACATGCCTGTAACACCGTAACATGCTGATAGAGAACCATGCTTCCCAGCAGGCAGGGCTCTCCGGGGCCCTGGCTTTGTGCTACCGTGGCAGTACCACTGTAGCCCTCAGGCAAGCTGAAGCCCCTGGCACCAGCACGCAGCCACTGCCTGAGACGGAACAGTGCCCTTCCTGCTTGTCAGTGCTGCTCTCAGCCCCCTGGGAATGGGCAGACAGCCTTGTCCGGAGACCCGGAACCGTGAGATAGCTGGCTGGAGAAAATGCTGCCTCAACACAAATGGCTGCCCAGGGAAGACACCACCTTGCCCCAGGAAGTTACCTTGGGGTTACCCTGGACTGCAAATGAGCTAAAACTTTCAAGCCTTGGACAGATTTCCTTTAGGGTAAGGGCTGCATCCCTCTGCAGGGAAGCCCAGCTCCTGACATCATTCCATTGCCAAGTGTGGCCCAAGGGACTGCTGCTCCTGGGAGCTCAGTAAGAAAAAACATTTTCCTTAACCTCAGAAGCATGTAACCTCCGAGAGGCCTCTGGTTAGAGGTGCCAGAGAAAAACAGTGCTCAGAGGGGGGGGAACTCCCCAAGGGAGGCTGTTGCCTGGGAGCGAGGGTAGCACCAGGTCTCTGAGAGCCGCAAGCCAGGAGCACAGCCACCACCAGGAGCGGCTTTTGCTGCATCCAGCAGCTCCCACAAGCTCCTGATTGGAAATAGGCAGGGGTGAGGCCTCCACAGAGCTGAGCTATCCTTGTCCATCCTGAGGGCAAGGACATGGGCTTCTCACTACTTATGGTTTTGGGAGCCAGCTGCTTCCCAGCGTCACACTGCTCAGCACCGCCTCTCAGCCTGGCGAGATGTAAAGCCCCAGCTCCAAGATCTTTAGGGTGAGATGTATGTTTAAGCACAGCGGTGCTCACCTTGTACCCAGGGTCATCCCCACTGCCCCCTCTACTCACCACTATGTAGATGGGGAAGGTGCTTCTCGGCTTGAAGTCCTCCAGCCGGCACAGCACAGGGAAGACCTTGTGCTTCCAGATCTCCACAGAGATCAGCTCGCCAATGAGAACAGGAATCTAGCGAGGGAAGGGATGGGGAAAGCAAAGCCTTTCAGACCAGTGCTGCGGGGTGGGGAGGGGGGAGCAGTTTTACTGCTAATGCTCAGCCACAAAGACTTTGGAGTCACCCCATGGAGGAGGGCAGCCCTGGGGCACGCTGCTGCCTTTACATTCACCCAGCTCAGAAATCAACAGCTTTCCGCCAACAGACCAGTGGGCAGAGAGCTCCTGAGGCTGCAAAGGGGGAAGGTGGCCAGGGCCAGGGCAGCACCCATCCCTGTGCAGCCCTGCACATTCGGGGCTGGGACACCCCAGGTAAAGTGCTGAGATCCACAAGCAGAGGGGGCTGGTCCGCAGAAGAGACCAGAACAAGCTCCAAGAAACGAAGCAGACACCAACAAGTAGAAACACCGCAGCTTGACCTTTAATTAAGAACCACCCCAAACCCAACCGCGCAGAGATACAACCGCTTCAACCCCAAACTGCACGCTGTCCACCAGACCCCCCCAGCTCCAGCTGAGGGCCTGGCACGGGGGGGTCACCACCACACGCAAGGAGCTCACCTTGGCGTAGGTGACCAACAGCTCGGTGAGGAGCTGCTCCTGGCCCGCGGAGGCGCTCAGGATGGCGTCCATGTTGAGCTTCTCCACAGACTCCTGCTGCCGGAGCCATCTGCAGGGCAGGCAGCAGGACATCAGTGCCACGTCCTGCTGGCCGTGCAGGGAAACCTGCTCCCGGCACCCCCAAGCCCCGCAGCGTCCCCTGAGCCTCGTGTGCTCCCTGCAGCAGCACCCCCGGCCCTGCCCTTCTGCCTGACCCCGAACCTGGGGTCCTCCTCTCCCCCTACAGCCCCAAAAGGGACACCCCAAATTGAGAGCCCCCCTCCCTCCCTTCACGCTTCCCCTCCCAGAGCCGCGGTCCCCCCGCACCGCTGCCCGCCGATGTCCCGCAGCTCGGTGCCCTGCAGCGCCCGCACCAGCGCCTCGGCCTCGGCGGGCAGCAGCAGCGCCGGCCCCGGGACGGCCATGGCGGCGGCGGCGGCGTCGCTATGGCAACGGGCAAGCGCTGGCGGAGCCTTTACCGCCCCCTGCCGCCTCGGAGGACGGCGCAGTGAAGGCGCGGAGGGGGGCCTCTGCCGCCCCCTGGCGGCGCGGGGGAGACACGGCGGCCGGCGGGGGGTCACCGGGCTCTGGGACACAGACGGGGGGGACATCCCCGCCGTCACTTCCAGCACACGATGATGTTGGGGTCGTTCTCCAGGCGCTCGTCCAGCTCCTTGTAACTCATGCCTGCGGGGGGAGGCAGCGGAGTGTCAGCGGGGAGCCCAGGAGTGGTGCTGGCTGGGGTCCCCAACCCCTCCCATTGCAGCAGGGCACAGAACCCACCCCAGCCCCATCTCCCGCAGTCGGCACAAAGGGGCGAGGGAGATCCTGACAGCAGTGCCCAGCCCGGGGGGCTCTGCCTCCCGCCGGCCCCGAGGAGCCCGGCTCCTCACCGGTCTTGCAGCAGATCTCATCGTAGCTGTGGCAGCCCGTGTAGAGCCGCGCCGGGTGGCTCCGCTCGTCCCGGGCCACCTTCACGGGGTATTTCTGGAGCCGTCGGATGAGGCCCTTCATCAAACCAAACTGGATGAGCCTCCTGCGCGTGAGAACAGGCTGGGACCCGCGTGCTGAGGTGTCCAACACCCCCTGCCCTTCTGGTTCCACCATGCCCCACCGTTCCCCACCTACAGACATAGGGATTGGGCACTCCCTCCTCACTCCGCCACCCCTGCTGTCACCACCACCCTAGGGGATCAAGCAGGAGGGCGCTGGGACCAACCTCTCGTCCACCCTCTGGAGCTGCAGGGTATAGCGGGAGATGAGGTCTCGCACCGTCGTGCCAGGGCTCAGCCCGCAGTACAGCTGGAACACATCCCTGAGGCTGGCGCGCTTGTGCCCTGCAGGGACAAGTCACCAGTCAGCTGCCCTCTCCTCCTGCCTCTGCCAGCAGCCTAGCGCGGGGTCGCTGTACCTTGCTTGGTGACATAGGACAGACACTCCTCCTGCAGACACTTGTCATCCACTAAATCCTGGACCTTTGGTGTGGTGCAGTAGACATTGGAGTACTGGAAGGTGAGGGAAGCAGCTCTGCTTAGCCATGGCTCCAAGAGAGACAGACCCGCCCCACTCCCAATCCCGCTGTCCCCCTGCGTGGCCACCCTGATGGGGCAGCCGCTGCCTGAATCGCACTCATGGCCCCACACTCCGTGGCCTGACCCACCTGGAGGATGGAGACAAGTGTGACAACCCCGTAATACCTGCAGACAGACAGGGAAGCGTGAGACCCCCTCTGCCAGCACCCACCACCCCCCTCCTGCCCGCTGGCCAGGCCCTTCCATGCACTCACAGCAGGTTTTGCACTGCGATGCGCACCAAGTTCAGCTCCACGTCAGCTTCTGCAGAAATCTTCTGGACGTGCCGAAAGCCATCGATGTAGGGCAGGATCTAGGAGGGGAGGAAGCAAGAGCTAAGAGGAGAGAGAGCAGAGGCCCAAGGCATCACATTGAAGCCCAAGAAACTCCCCTGTGTGCACTTGGACAGGTCAGTTCCATCCCCAGCAGCATTTTATCCTTGTTGGGGAAACTGCTTGCTCAAAGCACCGGGACAAGGGGAGCACCAAACCATGCTTATTAACGTGGTGATCTGCAGGACAGCCCGACACCCCTCTGCCCTGGGCAGGCTGGAAACAGATCCTGTTCAAAGCATGCTGCCCCTGGTCAAGCACACAGACCTGCTGCGTGGTGAGATCCCACTGGGAGTTGAAGAAGTCGTCCTTGTCTTGGGTGAAGACGGGGACATCGTACTCCTGCACAATGGGGGGGTCCGGGCGCTGCTCTATCACCTTCAGGTGGATGGTGTTGGACTCATCTGTTTGGGGAAAGGGGAGTGCTCAGTCCCCACAGAAACCTCTGCTCCCTTGGGAGCTCCCAACTGTCAGCCCCAGGCACCACCCGGCTGCTCAGAAGTGTCTGCAGCCATCACCCCATCCCTTCCACCCCTTTGAGCCAGCCAGGGCAAGGCTGGATCCAAGCACAGGCAGAGCGGATCCAGGCAGGGAAAGGCCCAGCTGCCTCCCTGCCCCACTCATGTCCTTACTGCCGGGCTGGCAGGGCTTCCATACCTATGGGCAGGGTGCACTTTCCTTTGGCATTCAGCTCCTCCAGCAGGATGGTCATGATGGGAACCAGCTTCTGCTTACTCTCCTCGTTGGAGATGAAACCACTTTCCAGCTATAAAGATAGCAGAAAATCAAGTCAGCTCCACCCCACAGGACAGGAACCAAGATGTGGGGTTCCGCACATATTGGTTCCTGTCCTCCCTTCAAGTGATGTGTGGGTAAAACCAGCGTGATCCACCTGGCCCAGTGACACGCAGCGACACACAACAAGCACCACTGGTGGCTCTGTGGGTTACATTGTGAGGCAGCCACTGGCTCAGGACTCACCTCCAGGGTGGTCAGGTAGCCAGCCAGCTTCTTCACTATGGGCTCCAGCGCACAGGCCTTGGCTCTGGCATCGCACACGAAGCCCAGGTTGAAGAGCAGAGCGTTTCGGCTGTACTTCTTGTGCTCAATACACACGGGGCAGCCGATCAGCTTCTTCTCCATGGCTGTCCTGCAGGATGACAAGTATAACCTGCACCTATGCCCTCCGAGCAGCCTGAGCACCACACAAGGATAGTTCTGGAAGCGGGGGCTTCTCTGCTCTACATTTAAAACGATGTCTAATCCTCAGATGGCCAGAATGCAGAACACACGCAATGAAGAAGGGGTTAAGAGAGTCCAGCACCAGGGAATAAAGTCTCCATTTAACACCAGCACTGCCCTCAAGACTCGTCCGCCCTTCTTGGAGTTGGCGCTGACAGAACCGTGCGCAGCCCCGGGTACCCCAAACCTCCCGCACGGGTTATCACGGGCACCAAATGAACGCGGGGACCCCATGGACAGAGCCGGAGCTGGCGCTGCGCATCCCGCGGCACTCACACGGTGATCAGCTTGTTCTGCAGCTCGGGCTTCGTGATGACGTACACCTGGATGGTGTCGAACAGCTCCCGAGAGATGAAGTCCTCCGGTACCTGCAGCGGCACAGGCGGATCAACCTCAGCCCCGCTCCCGGTCTCATCCCCGGCCCGCGGTGCAACGCTGCCGGGCGCCGGCCGCCCATGGCCGGGGTGCCCTCACCTGGTAGGTGATCTTGGGTCCCAGCGTGGGGTGGAACTCGCTGAAGAACACGCACTCGATCCTGCCGCCCATGGCGCACCGACGGCGGCACGGGACGGGACGGGACGGGACGGGACGGGACGGGAAGGGCCACCCCGCTGCGGCACGGACGGCGGAGCAGGCACCGGCCCTCGCCGGCCACCGTAGCGGGTATGCCGGGTACCGCGCCGTCACACGGCCGCGCCGGTGTGGGCGGGCTCTCCCTAGAGGGACAGCACCTACCACCAATCAGCGCCGCCCGCCAGCAGACGGACAGCTCCCCTCACCCAATCGCAGCGCGAGGCGCTGCGCACCCTGCCCGGCGGCGGCGGCAGTTCCCCCCCCCCCGGCCGCCATGGCCCTGACGGCCGAGACCGAGTCCCGGCTGTACCGGTCCCTGCGCGCCGCCGCCGGCGCCGCCGCTCACCTCGTGGCGCTGGGCTTCCCCACCGGCGTGGCCGTGCTGGCGCGGCCCGGATCCAGTGAGTGCGGGGCGGGCGCGGGGCCGGGCGGGGCGGGCGGGCCGCGCCTCTCCTCAGCTCATCAGCCCTTCCCTTGCAGGCCTCTTCTCCTGGCACCCGCTGCTCATGGCCCTCGCGGTAAGTCCCGCCGCACGGTTACCGGCCCCGCCGCTCCCCGGCCATGGGCACAGCGCCCGGCCCGGAGGACGAGCCCGTGTCTGCCTTCGCGGGTGGTGGGAGGCGGAGCCCCGGCAGACGCCAACCCCTTGCCCTCTGTCTCCCAGTTCTCGTTCCTGATGACCGAAGCGTTGCTGATGTTCTCCCCGGAGACCTCGGTGCTCCGCTCCTTCTCCCGCAAAGTCAAAGTGCGGGCGCACTGGGCCCTGCAGCTGCTCGCCCTCGTCTGTGCGCTCCTGGGGCTGGGCATCATCACCTACAACAAGCACCTGAACGGCAAGGCGCACTTCGTGACCTGGCACGGGCTGACGGGGCTGCTGACCGTGCTGTACGCTGGCGGGCAGTGCGCCGGGGGCGTGCTCCTGCTCTACCCCAAGCTCATGAAGAACTGGACGCTGGCCAAGCTCAAGCTCTACCATGCGACCTCGGGGCTCGTGGGCTACCTGCTGGGCTGTGCCAGCCTCATGCTGGGCATGTGCTCCCTGTGGTTCACCACCTTGGTGACCAGCGTCTCCTGGTACCTTGCCATGCTGTGTCCCCTTCTCACCAGCCTGGTTATCATGAACCAGGTGAGCAACGCTTACCTGTACCGCAAGCGGAGCCAGCACTGAGGGCCTGACACAGAGCTGAACTTCCCCTGCGTGAGCCAGCAAGGTGAGGGCTCCCCCTCGCACCCCCCACGAGGGTCCCCTGCTCTCATAGGGTCTCCTCAGAACTCGATTTCTGCCTACTCGTCTCTTGTCCTGGATCGCCCGTAGTGTCTTGTCCCCAGGGAGCAGCTACAACGTGCGTGACACCGAGCAGGCAGAAGCTGCCCTCCTCATGTCTGCCTTGGTGGGGATGTTTCCCAACACAAATGAAGCTGCTGGTCCCCATGGCAGCTTGGTGCTCACTGCTGGGAACTGTAGGGTTCACTCAGGATTCGTGCTCCTTTTCACTTCCCACCCAGGGCTGCTTTGGAGCAGGCAGGACACGAGCCATTGTGTCCTGGTGAGGAGGGCAGGGAGTCCCTGCTCATGCAGGAGGCTGCGATGGTACCACACTGCCTCCTGCCATGGAGGCAGCTTGGCTAGTAAAAGCACAGGTACAGTTGTGGCTTCAGCCACAGGAGGGCTGAAGCAGAGTGGCAGCACCCATGCCAGCTGCGATGGACAGCAGCATGTCCAACCCCACAGCACAGCCCCATGCAGGAACCTGGGAGCTCCCCAGGACTGGTGCAGTAAGCCCAGCCTGGCAACCACAGATCCACGCACAAATCCTTCCTGCAG